TCACCCCCTGTTCCCTACTCCCGGCTCCCTGTTCCCTACTCACTGCTACCTCCTTCCTGCTCTCTACTCCCTACTCCCTGCGCCCTGCTCCCTGCGCCCTGCTCCCTGCGCCCTGCTCCCTGCTCCCTGCGCCCAGCTCCCTGCTCCCTGCTCCCTGCTCCCTGCGCCCTGCTCCCTGCTCCTTGCTCCTGGGTGCCTGCTGTCTGCTGTTTGCTGCATGCCGCCTGCTGTTCCTTGCCATGGTCGTCCCCCCGGGGCTCTACTCCTCTTCTGGTTCAGCTACCCCTGGTACAGGGACCGGATGTTCTCTGGATAGCCGAACCTGGAGCCTGGCTCCACCTTCCTCAAGGCGGTACACCTTGCATAGGACCTCCCGGTGCGCCCACACAGCTGTAAACTCCGCCATGGCCGTTTGCTTCAACTCCGCTGTAATGAGGCGCATCGGCAGGGCGTCAAGCATAGCCTCCGGCAGTGCTGCCACCCGGAACTGTGCCATCATGAGCCTCCGCAAGTCATCCACCACCTGTTTGACCACTGCTGCTGACGTTTTGGCCTCCTCCTCAGCCGCTTGGTGTGCACACCAGATGGCATGCAGGAACGTCAGCCGGAGTGCGTTCCATAGCTTGACCAGTCCTGGGCTACGGTTGGCTGCTGGGTGCCCTTGCCAGGAGTTTGGCTGATCTCCAAACATGAGGGCCGCATTGTCGACAGGTGGGGACTCCCCTTCCGTGATGGCCACCCACGTCTGCCCCAGCCACTGCCTTGCTTCCAAGTACTGCGGGCACTGCAGGAAGATGTGAGTTAGGCTGTCCCGTGGCCGGTACCGTGCTGCGAGCTGCGAGCAGCATGGCTGCTGGCAAAGGTGCCGATTGGTGCCATGCCGTTGACCCCGCTTAGCTGCCAGATAGAGTCCACAGGGCAGCCGGGCATGTGCCAGCCGCCACCCCAGAACCTTCGCCCGGTTGCCCGCTGAACATTCCCACAGCCTAAGCCAGGCATGCGAGTGCTCCCGGCCGGTATAGCGCTGCTGCTGGTGCTCCTGCCCCTGCTGCTGTTCCTGCTGCTGAGATTGCTGCTGCGGCTGGGACCCCCCTGTCCCCTGCACCTCTGCCGCTGACTGTCCTCCGCCGGCCGTCTGCTGGATATCCTGGCTGTGCTGCTGCGGCAACAGCTGGTGCTGCGACTGTCCATCCTGACGCTGTTCCCTCCGCTGCCTCCGCTGCTGCGCTGCTTGGTGCCTGGCATCACCCAGGTTGGGCTGCATCCAGCTCGGCGGGGGTGGTGAGTAGTGGGTGAAGCGGGACGAGCCACTGTGGGGTCGTTCCTGCTCCCATTGAGTCTCCATCTGCTGCAACGTGCTGCGTGGTGCCGATGTGCTGCCTCCTGCTCCTTGGGAGCTGGTGGGGCTGCCTGCCAGGGGCCAAGCAGCTGGGCGGAGGGGGACGCTGCCCTCCCCCATCTGCCTCTCTGCTTTGATGGTAGTGAGGCGGTGGCGGGCATTGCTAACCTCGTAGTGGACGAGTGAGACCTTGCCATGACCATGGCCTGCCGGGTAGCACTGAAGGGTAGCCCACGGGCCTAGCACATGTGGTTCAACTGGCCAAGCTGCAGCCTTGTTCTGGGGTGGTGCCGCAGCGTAGTTCTCGCGCTCCTCCAGCGTCCAAAGGGCCCTTTTCTTCCTGCACTTCAGCACACATGCAGCATGCCATACCGGGCTGGGCTGGGGTACTGGGAGTTGTGGCTGCGGCTGCACCAGTCGTCCTGTGGAAGTGACTGCCCACACGCTGCCGGTTGGGTCGCTGATCCACCCTCCGCACGGGGAGGAGCTCCATGTTGGCAGCTGCGGGATGGGAGCCGTCACTGGGTCGGGCGGCAGCAGCTCTTTCCAGCTCAGCGGTAGGGCGGCCCTGATTTTGCACAGCAACGGCAGCTGCATGGTGGTAGTGGTTGCCCTCCGTAGGTCGCCCAGCGTGAGGGGCAAAGCGGCTGGGGCCCCTGATGGGAAGGAGAATGGCTCTGACGAGGTCGGGTCAAGAATGGCGGCATTGTAAAAGAGGGGCTCTGCTAGGATGGCCCGGGCGTCATCGTCCTCCACAGATAGGCTGAGCCGATTGGGGCACGTGTTACGGTAGGCCTGGACCAGGTCCTGCAGTCTAGGGGGCAGGTCTGCCGGGACTGGGCATGTGCCAAACACCCAACCCCAGCCCGTGGTGCCAGGAGGTGCTGCCTCCGCCAGCAGGTGTCGGTGCAGCTGCTTCCAGGGTTGGTTTCCGGGCTGAGCGAGCTGCACAATGGTCTTGGCTTGCAGGGCATCCAGAAAGGACTGCAGGTCAATGTGCCCGATGCCTCCTTGGTCCTTGGAAAGGCTGGCAACCCCTTGCTTTGGCAGCAATGTGGCGTAACCGCCAGATACCAGACTGGCATCTTCTGGGAGTGTCGACCAGGCCACAAACCCATCCACCGTCCGTTGGGCCCGTTGGGTGGTGAGTTGGCCATATGACCTCACCGCCTGACCAACTCGCTGCCCGAACAGCTCAGGGGCTGATGAGTTGGCCCGAACTTCACATCGGGTGGTGAGTTGACCTCACCGCCTGACCAACTCGCTGCCCGAACAGCTCAGGGGCTGATGAGTTGGCCCGAACTTCGCATCGGGTGGTGAGTTGGCCCTATGACCTCACGGCCTGACCAACTCGCTGCCCAAACAGCTCAGGGGCTGATGAGTTGGCCCGAACTTCACATCGGGTGGTGAGTTGGCCCTATGACCTCACGGCCTGACCAACTCGCTGCCCGAACAGCTCAGGGGCTGATAAGTTGGCCCGAACTTCGCATCGGGTGGTGAGTTGGCCCTATGACCTCACCGCCTGAGCAACTCGCTGCCCGAACAGCTCAGGGGCTGATGAGTTGGCCCGAACTTCGCATCGGGTGGTGAGTTGGCCCTATGACCTCACGGCCTGACCAACTCGCTGCCCGAAGGCAAGCAAGTGCACACACAGCAGCAGCCAAGTCATTTGAAGAAAGACACTGAGGCTCCTGCTCACCATGTTGTAAGCCCTTGGAAGTAGTCCTGCATGTGATAGGATGGATCTTGGTGGTGAAGGCAGGCAACCCAGATGGGCTGCTAGTTGTGGTTGGCAGCAGTGAAGGTGGTGTGCTAGATGAGGGTACCTGCATGAAGCAGTGTCAATTGGGGAACAGGAATGATTAGATAAGGTGCTGTAGAACTGGGGCAAGCAAGTGCATGTATTGCGAAAAAGTGAGCGAAAGTGAGACTATTCGAAGTTGTTGTAACTTGTTCGGTACGCATCTGCTATTAACTGGTTACCTTTTCAGAAACAAAGTCAGGACTTTTTTTTTTTTTTTCCGATGCGGACTGTTACAGAGGAAGGACAGGAAGACCACCAAGAAAACCAGCGGAAAAAACACCCACCAGGGAATCACCCCTGGAAAACACCACCTGCAAGCCCACCTGACAGAGGAGAAAGGAACTGCAACAGACAACACACCAGACAGGACAAGGACAAGGACGGGTGACCTGCCTGAGAGGTCAAAACCTCACTCTGACCACCTGGACAGGCGAGGGGCAACACCACCACCACCGAAGGCTGAAAACAACCAAACAGCCTCCCTCCACAGGAACGACTACGAAAGGAAAACCACAAAACCACAACAAAACACAACACTCCAACAGAAGAAACCAACAAACAAAACAGTTAACAGAAAAAACACCCATGCAACCCCCCGAGTTTTGGGGCCCCTGATACCCCCACACATTCCCGAGTTTCGGGACCCCTGATACCCCTGCGTACCCCCGAGTTCAGGGACCCCTGATACCCCCTCGTACCCCCGTGTGTGTCCGCTGGGAAGCGGTCAGGAGACGGGCAGACATGTGATCATGACGAAGCTTACCGATGCTCCGTCAGGTAGCTGCATCCGCCTTCGGTACCCGAACTCCTTAAAGGATGGTTGGTTTGCTTGTTAGGATTTAGTAGATAGTAAGGAGAAAGTAGTTGTTGTTGTCCATGGTCGGGCATGAGGAACAGGGTCCGGGGCCTGGTACCTGCTCTACGTTTTCCCGTCTAGCTAGGAAATAACTATAAAAAGAGAGTCCCAAAGAAGGCTTTTATACGCGGCATATGGCCATGCAGAATTGTACGGCGGTTCGTAATCGTAGAACCGAAGAGTATCCGTTGCGAGCAACATAACAGAATACAACAGGCTTGCAGGTTATGTGGTATTCTTTGTCGATTTGGGTCGGGTAAACGAGCACAACATACCCGCGGAGCTGCGCTGAGCGCCTACTTTCTTTTGGTTTCGCTTTGTGCTCGCGATCCATGAGCCTTCTGGCTCGGACGGATCTTACGAGCTTAGTATGAAGCTTGTAACACACACACGCGCCTACTTACTTCAATAAGCTTAAAAAGGGTTAGCATAGAAGACTTGTTACGGGTAGCTATATAACCTTTCTACAGGCTGGTGCCGTTCAGTTCTTGCTGCGTAGCCTCTCTCCGTATTCCGAGCCACTTCTACTCGTTTAGGTCGGCAAGCCCAAGACGTTAAGCATATACGGCTTATGCAGAAAAGATTCTGAAAGGCTTATGAAGGCGTCAAGAACCCTGCGTAGGATACTTTTCCTTGCTTAATCCTTGTTAGTCCCTCTTTGAAAGAGCTTTTGCAGTCAAGTCCTAGTAAACATCATGCACAAAGTACTCTTCTTGTATGGTTTCCGGCCCTTGTCCCGCTTCCGCAGTTGGCATGGGCAGACATCGCTAATTCAGCAGCTTTGGGGCGGCGCATGCTGTGACCCTCCTTTCCGCGCACTGTATATATGTTCTCTTTGGTCCAAAGCATTGCTCGACTAACGTTTTTTTTTTTTTTTTCCGATGTGGGATGACTTCCTCGCAAATTTGTTATAATGGTTAATTTTCCATTTTAGGGGCACGCCCAGACGACGGCCTTGTGTACCTCTGCCGTCGTAAAGTTGTAAAATGATGGTCTAAAGGGTTGGTTTTACATATCACTGAAACGTCGGTCGTCACCGAAGTTGCTTTCCTTCAAGTAGCAACACGCATGCACACCTCTCAAACAGCTACACTCATGAACAATCTGTATCACATGCACCAAGTGTGCTCGATGCAGTTACCCTCACGTCAACATCTTGCAGTTACCCTCACAACCCTAGCTTCAAGGAAGGAAACACGCCTAAATGAAGGAGCCTATTGCAGCAACACCATGTCTTGCCTTGCACTCTATCTGTGACAACAGTACCTTTGCGGCCTCCCTCGAGCAATGCAGCTGCTTCACGTCGCATACTGGAAGAAGAAGAATCCATACTTGTGCATGTGTAGCAGCCGTACAGACAACACACACCCATCAACAGCAACCGTCTATAGTCAACACTCTTGCTCCTACACATCACTGCCCTTTCCATTGCTGCAGCAAGTACTACCAGTACCACACCATCAACTCTATGCACTCTTCTCCTGCAAACTTCCCAAATAACTTAACACCCTGCCTTGGCCTACCTGCACAACACCGCCTCCCGATTCCCCATCGGATAAGCCAGTTAGCCGTCTCCATCCCCCTGCACCACTGACTGTGGACGGCAATTACCCACTGGGTTCAATCTATCCAGCCCCGCAAGCCAGCCCGCGGCCCGCTACACGTCCGACAGCAGTCGCGGCTGCAGGTGGCGTCTCCGCTTCAGCGCCCGAACCAGGCGGGTGAGGTGCTGCATGATGGTGCATTTGGCCTCGCACCAGTAGCCGGCTGGCTCGTCGGGCGACATGTACGCGCAGGCGTAGATGGGGGAGGGCGGCGAGGGAGGTGAGCGGGGAACGGATGTGCAACTCGTTGCTGTCTGCGTGAGTTATAAAAGGGGAGAGGGGGTGTCGGAGGGTGAAGGGAGAAGGGTATGTAGCGCTGCAAGTTGTGTGCACGGGCTTGGCTAATGCCCTACTTCTGGTGCGTCTCCGCCTTTGCCATAGCTCTTCTCTTCCCCCTTCACCCTTCCTGTCCCCCTCAGCTCTCGCCGTCCGCCTTCCCCTACTCATCACGTACCGTAACAGCATCTCTCCTCCCTTCCCCCACCCGCCCCGTCCTCCAGTCTATATACGGTACTCCGCCCATGCTGCTCACGCGGCACGTCCATGTGCTCCAGACTGCTCAGCGCGCCCAACCAGCCGGGCAGCTGGCTGAAGCAGTTGGCAGCCAGCGACAGCAAGCGCAGGCTGGGGCCCAGCGTGAGGTCCGGCAGGCAGCGCCGGGCGGGCTGGCGGCCCATGTGGGCGGCGTAAGAGATCTCGTCGGGGGTGGGGAGCATGCGATCCAGAGACAGGCGCTGCATGGGAGGCAAGTTGGAGGAGGAGGAGGGGGGGTAGCTTGGGTGGCCCATGCAGAAGGAGCAAGGAAGTGAGGGTTATCAGGCATGGTTCACAGGCAAAGGTTTACCGTTCCGCAATCGTACCTGCCGCAGCCCCTACCTTCCAGATCCCCAGCATCACCGTCTCCTCTTACAAGCGAGCCCAGCGATTCCTCCCGCCCTTCCCTTCCCCGGGCTCCCTCCCTTACCTGCAGCACCAGCACACGAAGCCCCGTCCCCACCGCCAGATCCTCCAGCCCCCCGCCGACCCCTTCCGGCCCTCCGCCCTCCAGCTCGTTACAGCCGCTGAGGTCCGGATGACGCAGGCGCGGTAGGCGGGGCAGCCAGGGCGGCAGGCAGGGCAGCAGGCGGTGGTCGCGCAGCTCCAACCTAGGGTGTAGCGAGGAGGGGAAGGGAGTGCAGGTAAGAATTGAAGCCTCACATGGAGAGAGGGCGCATCTCACCACCTTGAGCCTGCTTCCCCCACATCCGCCCCAGCTGGCTCCACGCCTGCGGCACCCCCTCCAGCCCCACCTCCAAGCCCCGGTCCTCGCAGGTCTGCACCAGGACCTCCAGATGGGCAGGGGGGGAGAGGGAGGAGAAGCGTGAGCTAAGGGGGTTGCAGGGGAAACAACGTGGAGGGAACAGGGCGGGCGGACGGCAGGGAGGAAAGTGGTCGTGCGGGTTTGCTCTCGTACAAGGAGCGATGAAGAGGAGCGCTCGACACGTGGTGTGTCCCTTCCCCTCGTCTCGTGGTGGAGGCTTGCCACATGGCTATCTAGCCTTCCTCCTTACCCCGCCCGCCCTCCGTCTTCCCTACTCCCTGCTACAAGACACTAGCATTTCGGTATGAACTCCCTAGTCGTCTAACCCCCTAGCCTTACACCCAAGCCATCTCACCGCCTCCCTTGCCCCTCCCCGCACCTTGCTAGCGCTGAGGGAGGTGCTATGGAAGGCCGCGTGGTAGTCCGCCAGGCTGGGCCGCGCATTGCTCCAGCGCAGGGGTGTGTGGATGGAGGTGCCGCCACACCAGGCGCTGGTGGGGGTTGAAAGGGGGGAGGGGAGGGGAGGGAGGCGGGAAGAGGAGAGGGGAGGGGAGGGAGGCGGGAAGAGGAGAGGGGAGGGGAGGGAGGCGGGAAGAGGATAGGGGAGGGGAGGGAGGCGGGAAGAGGATAGGGGAGGGAGGAAGGAAGTGGGTTGGTGAGCTAACATACAGGCGGAGATAGGGAGACGCATGAGGAATAGCGAGGATACTAAAGCAGGTTGTCACACGAGGAGTGTAAAGGGACCATGGATCATGAGGCTAGCGATAAGGCATAGGCCGCAGTCGGGGGCCAGGACACGCAAGCAAGGGTGCACGTGGTGACACCGAAACCCCCCCCCCACCCCCTGCCTTCGCCCACCTCTTCTTCCCCTTCCCTTCCCAACCTGCGCCATGTCCGCGTCCAGCAGCCGCCTCCACCTTCCGCACACCTGCGCCGGGAAGGGGCAGCCGTGCAGCCTCGCCGGCGGAAGCAACTCCGGGTCGGCGGGGCGGTACGGCAGCTGGGTAAGGCGCAGCGGGTCGTCCTCCTCCCACACGCTGCCCACGTCAGCCCGGTGGCCGAAGATCTGCGGCAAGGGAGGGGAAAAGAAGAAAAGTAAGCCCCGGCACTCGAAACACGACACAGATGCCACTGGACTGTCACCTGGCGATCGACATGTAATGCACCGAACCATACTAGGGCGAGGGGAGGGAGATAGGGGCGGAAGGAGGGGTGACGGAGGTGGAGGAGGGGACGGGGCTTTTACGAGATATAGCTCAAGGATGGGCGCTAGGCCCCGCTATAATGAGGAGAAGTTGGGATGGATGAAAGGGATGGGGTTAGCTGTTGTGCCCACGGTGCTAAGATGTGAGATGTGGATGAGTGGCTTGGCCTTCGCCCTACCCTGACCGACCGTCAGGGATAAATAAAAGCCTCCAGAATAAATGTCGTGTACTCGGAAACAATAGCTAACAGTAGCCCTGCGACCCAACCCGAGGTGAACCCTACCATGGAGGATTTCGTCCGGGAGGTTATCCCACACTGGCCCTGGGCTCCTGGATAGCGAAATTCCTGTAGCCATCTTTGTACAGGTTTGAATGAAGCAAGCCGTGGAAGTCCCTGAGGACAACGTTCAAGTACAAAAGGCAAGCTTGCCAACGGGCTTGACGACCGAACTACCCATAACGCAAGGATAAAGCGGGTAAGAGGCCTATGATGTAATCTTACCTATCGCCTAGGATCAGGCTCGTAAGGTAGGTAAGTCGCCTCGCCTGGGAAAACCGGCAACAGATTAGGACGTAACCTTGAAGGGCTTATTGTCCTCAAATCCCACTGAGCATTCATATATAAATGGCTCATAAAGATTACAAGCCAATAGCAGCTAGGAATGGAGGACTTACTTCACCCGAACGATGGTTGACGTAAGAATATCCTGTGAATTAATAAATAGGGTTACAACAGGTTACAAATACCATTACATTAAGCTTAAATCTAGGTTTAGCAGGATAGCGGTTAGCTCGTGAGTCGCGAGGAGGGCGGGCAGCAAGCATAAGTCTGTAACCACCACGCTGACCCTCATGCGAGCCTGGCAATCGCTTTGACCGGTGTGTACCAGTGTGCAAGCCATGATCAACATAACTTACCATGAAAGCGTGAAAGGAAGTTGAAAACAGTGTACGCGAATCCGGCCTCTGTGAGTTTGCTAGACCTCACGGGCAAATGCAGCGCTTACCTTTTTTTAGTACTGCCTAACGGACGCTTATGGAATTAACGAATAATGGTAGTGCGCTTCCGTTTTCACCCATCATTTTTCTACTATTTGGACGTTTTATTACCGGTAGCCGACGAGCTACACCACAGAAACAAGCACCTTAACAAGCGCCTAATCCAGCTTCTTCCTTGTGTTTCAATCCGGCCTTTTGCGGACGTGCCCCTCATCGCTGTTCGACTTAGCGACTTAACTTGCCAACGCGCGGTTATCAACAATTAAGGATAGGGGGAAAGAAAGATACACCATCCATGATATTTTGTGCTTTAGCAACCTGCATATGAGGTGGGCTGGGGATTGCTGGGTTGGCTGCATTACCAATTTCTTGCATTACCCATTACAGCAGGAGACGGACAGCGATGCTGGGTAAAAAGCCGATGTCAACACTGGAAGATAGCCAAGTAAGAACCCCCTTCCACCCCATGCAAGCGGTGACTCGCACCTCTCCTCCAGCGTTGGCAGCGTATGGCGCGTTAATACGCGAGCCCGCCCGCGCGCCTTATTCGCCGGAACTCGCTTTTCGATTGTCTATCGCCTAGGAGGCGTATTGAAAAGCGCCGACCAGGCGCCTTCTCGCTTCGAACCGTGCCGTACTATGTAAGCTTCCGCCATTGAGCGCTACAAAGCAACAAGCCGTTCATGTTAAACTTGCAGCAGCGCCAGGTACAATAAAGGATTGGTCCTACTTTGTTCAGGACTTGCCGTTGTAGGCAGCACAGCCAGGGAATGAGGGGTAGGTTTTAACCTTGCAGCCCCAACGGGTCAGAGAGAAACATACACGTTTCCGTCTAACCATAACTGACTGTGTGATAAGGCGTCAGGGGTAGGTGGGGACGGGGGGCACAGAGGGATAGGTAGGAGCTGCCAGACCCCCCCTGCTATGTGACCTTCAGCCATGCCTGTTACAGTTAGGGCTTTCCTAACCGGCTTGCTAACATTGCGTGGTACGGTAAGGAACAACCCCCTCGCAAGGCCCCGGGGCAGAAGCGGTTTGGTTTAGGAAGTGGAAACTGCCGCAGCAGGAAGAGTCTAGCGCACAGGGTTGCATTCACGGGGATCTGGACTAGCTGTTTGCGGAGCACGCATGGGGAGGGGATAAGAATGAAGCAACCGGAGTCCAAATGCTGCACGCATTGGGGGGGGAGGGCAACCACGTTTCGTTTCATTTTCCTGAGGGGGAGGTAGTGCTAGCAGCACGGAGTATGTGCTGTTGGACCAAGAGGTAGGGTGGGGTGCAGCATGCGTAGCCTTTTCATTCATGCCTGCTGTTTTGGCTTCGTGTCAGCATTGTGGCATTCTCTGGCAGTTAGGGGCACATCCAGTTGGTCCCAGCTGGACGAAAAGGATCACCTTGCAATCGCAAACACTTTGTAACCTATTCGTACGCGCAAAAGGAAGTCGCCTAGTACGCCGGCGTAAAAAAGCGTATTCTAAAGATGCCGAAGGCGTATTAAACTCGCCGCGCCAGGCGGGCTCTTGTTTGAAGGGCGCCAAACGCGCCTTATGGCCGATACTAATACGCTGCCAACGCTGCTCTCCTCCACGCAGCTGTGGCTAGCTAACCGCCACATTGTACAGCAGCATGCCATAAAGACCGCAACCATTCACAAGCAGGAGAGAAAGGAACCGCGCTGTTTGTCTCTGACCTCGAAGCGTCTAAGCATACTAAGCTTAGACCCACAGCCGTTTGAGTGATACACACATAGTCTCACACGCTCTCGTATGCAGAAGTAGCAGCAGCAAGAGCAGCACAGGCATACCTTTCCGGCGCCCCTCACGAGCATACGAACATAAGGAGCAGTAGCAGCAGGACCAGCGCATCGTTTTCCTCTCGCCTCACAACACACAGACACTGATTATGAAGCACCGAGGAGCTCCAGGGCAGGACACTCACATAGCACCAAACGACCCATGGGTCCGCAGAGGCACCAAGAGGAGAAGAGGCACGCATTTCGTCATGCGATGTGATTCCAGGTAAACAACAAACGATCCTACATGTGTACCACAATATGAAGAGCAGCCTCCTGCAGAGTACCGCACTCTTGTCCTGCGGTCCAACTTCCCCGCCTCCCCTCGAATTCTTAACTTGACTATGTTTGATACGAAGACGTAGCGTTAAAGCAGAAAACCTAGACGCACGCAAGCACACCGCGTACATTTCATGCATGACCCCACACAAAGCCCACCTGGCAGGCTCGTGAGAAACCGCTGCTTTTGACTTCGCCCTCGCTGAACACCAACAAAACAAAGCGCATGTATCCATAATCGCAAGGACTGCATTCAGCGCGTGAGCGGCCATCTTAACCGCTACCGTAAAGTCCCTCAATGATTCCCCTTGCCGCTACGAGGCAAAAGCGCCTCAAAAACCTACTCACAACAAACAACGAGCTGGCAACGAGAGAGGCTTCCGATGCCCAATTGCGGCTTCCCTAGCCACAGTACGCGACGGAATTTCCCTCTTATCCCTTTAATGCTAACCCTGTCCTACGGCCATTAGGGCCCCTGCCCTGTACGGCTCAGCAGCCGCCCCACCGCCTGCAGAGACGAGAGGCCCCAACTTGCCCCTCACTAAAGCCGCATTCCATGCCACTCTCCAAACCCCTCTTGCCAATCAGTTAGGGCTGGCGACCAGCAAACTCCCACCTGCTACCTGCTGCTACTATCATTTCCCACGACCCCCTTTCCCTAGCTCCCTATTCCAACCCACAGCAACCCGCCAGCCCCCACCCACGTCCATGCTGCCTCACAGCGCGTCCCGCAGTGCCCGAGACACCAGCTCAAAGGTGGTGAAGGTCATGGCTGCGGCTGGGGTGGTGCGCACCAGGTTTGCCCCGCAGCCGCGGTAGAAGCCCCTCAACCCGTCCTCGCGCCACACCGACACCACCGCCTCCTTGAGACCCGACAGCGGCCCGCTGCCGGAGAGGTGCATGTAGGAGCGTACCACCTGGAGGGATGGCGTGGGGAGGTGGAGGGGAGAGAGGGCTGACGGACATGGTAAGGGGGCATAGTGGGGAGAGATTCATGGATTGGCTTGGCGGACTGGAGGGCAAGGGAACGACGCAGCTTGCAGCAATCCTTTCATACCTCATGAGGGTACGTGGCGGTTGACGCAACCACCTTGGCGAATGCTGACGTGGCGACCAGCTCCGGAACCGTTAGGCTGTCGGTTAGAAGGGGGCCATCTGGGAGGGATGCTCCTTCGGTCCTGCTTTCCCCTCCTGCGCCGGACCCAGCGCTCGGTTGTTGCTGCTGCTGCCGATGGCAATGCAACTGCTGCTGCCGCTCCTTCTCCAGTTCTAAGTGCCTTTCAGCCTTATGTCGCGCAACCGCCTGAAACCACGCAATAAAGACGCACGTTGCGGTTGTTGGCGGAAAGCAGATGTCAGGCAAGCAAAAGCTGGGTGTAAGTGGCATGGAGCTCAACTTTGCTGGCGTCCTTCACTGTGACCACAGACACAATGCCCCATCAGATTCAACCATGTCTTACACAAAGATGCAGATACAAGTCTGAGCAAGTATAGGATATGTAGCTAGTCAGATCGTGCAGCGTACCTGCTTGGCATACTCATACAGTGGAAACTGAATGGCCACGTGCGCTATCCCCGCCATTGAAGGCGCCAAGCCGCTGTACAAGCCCCGCAGGCCCTCCTCCCGCGCAATCCGCAGTAGCGCTTCCGCGGTGCTCTTGTACGGCGGCCGACGGAGATACGATGCAATGGCGGCGGAGGCGGCGCCACCGCCACCTCCACGTGCGCCCGCCACCGCCGTCGTCGAGGCGAAAGTGGCGGCGGCTGCTGTAGCAGGAGTTGCAGGCGCTACCCTAGCGCCCGACGGTGGCGAGGGAGGACCGGGGCCCGGGGCAACTGCAGCTTTGGCCCCGTTGCTGCTGCTAGCGCTACAGCTTGACCGTGCAGCAACGCGTGAGTCACTACTGCTACAACTGCTACCATTGACAGTTGATGACGGCGCAACATGCGCCTGCTGATGCGGTGATTGTGTTGCTCTTGGCTGTTGGTGCTGCTGCTGTTGGTGATGATGCTGATGACCATTAGCATGATGCGAGGGGGTAGGTTGCTGTTGTACTGCAGAGCCGCTAGAAACCTCGGCGCTAGTAAGTGCGCGGCCAGTGACGGCGCATAGTCCCGACTGCAACCCCAAGCCAGCCGCCGCCGCCGGCACAACTGCCGTGCCCTCAACCGCCCCAGACACCGCCGCCGCCACCATGCCATGACATTGCATTCGCGTTTTGACCACCCACAATGGATTCGTTACCAGGATGGTTGTAACGCCTGCGCCCGCTGCCGCCGCCATGTGCGTCAAAGGGCCGACAGGTGCAGCGGCGCCTCCGGAGCCGCCACTGGTAGTATGTGCGGCACCCAACCGTCGCTTGAGACTGTCGTACACTACGAAGTAAACTGCCCAGTTGGGGAGCAGCGCCAGGAGGGTGGGACCCAGTCCCTTGTACATGCCGCCGACCTGGACGGGAGGATGGGGAAGTCAGGTGCAGCAAGCGCGTTGCGTCAATCCTCAGTTAGGAAGGGTAAGAGGAACGTACTACCGCCTCTTGTTAGCCAGGCTAGAGGGCCGTGCATTTACATACGCCTGCAGCACACACCTTGAAGACCCCGACAGATCCATTGGCCTGTCCTCGTCCGCCTCAGTCCCACTAGAATGCGGGTTCCTAGCATGAGACAAGAGATACCCTCCTCCGGGCCTACACTTCTAGCATGAGCATAACCTGCATGGGGGAAGCCTCCCCGTCGCCCGTGCTCATGTATACACCTACACACCCTTGGCCACGTTCCCCGCATCCCTCCCTACCCACGTTTCTTCCTTCTTATCCCTCCGTGAAGCATAGATGCCCTCGGGGTCCTCCAGGACCGTATCAGTCCCACCCCATCCCTGTCAGCTTGCACTCACCCCCTCACGCGCCACAATAGCCCGGATGCCTCCGGAGATGGAGGTACTCCGCGCCTTGGTTACCTGATGGCGAAGAAGGGCAGGGCGGACAAGAGAAAAGTAGCAACGAGCCGATGTAAGGCGAAGGCGAAAGGGATATGAACGGCATTTAGGCAGATGGCGTAGGCATGGGTGGTATGACGGGGAGGAGCGTTTTAAGACTGTGCTCATGCTTGCAGGACTTCTGTTTTGCGTCTGGCACCCACCAGCTCGAGGCCAAGGATGGATGCCTACATATACAAAGCCCACCGTCCAAAGCGTTTCCATACCTGTAGTCGAGTCTTAAGAACATCCAGCGGGCAGACAAAGACGGCAGTAACCAAGCCCGCCACAGCGCCGGATACAGCGTTGATAGCCTCATCGCGCTCCATGCCGGCCCACAGTCTTGATCCCTTGCCCTGAGTTAGCTATGTTGGCAAGCCCTGGTGCGCAGCAGAAAGATCGCAACCAGCTATGCCGCGAGGTCTGCGGCTTGCCTTTCAGACCCGACGCCAAACGACAGAACCAAACGCGTTCAAGGCGCGCAGCAGCTCCGGCCTCAGACCACTAAGACTTATTGTAAAATTATCGCTGCGCCGAGGAATCTGCTGCACAGACACGTAGACGCCAGCAACGCGAGGAAGGAGGCGACAGCCGCCTCGCGCTGAGCTACACGTTGTAGTTTGCCCTTGCGGTAGACGCCAAGACCGGTATTTGCGGGCTCCTAACGCCTAAAATCAACCGGTGCAAATTGGAGCACTGACACAAAGAAATGGCCAGCTCCGCTGTGTAGAGAAGAGCAAAGCTCTGATCAAGGCCTGATGCAACCGTGTTCGCTATAATATGCTATAACCGATTGTTCTGCGCTATTTAACCACTAATCGCTCTTGAACACGTGGAAGGTTTACAAGCCCTGACTCCACTCATGGCGTGGCGCTGTTGATTAGCAGACAGTGACGAATTTCATATCATTGATGTTTATTAAGTCACGTTGTGAATATGGTAAGAGCTGGGCCTTCGCCTCCCGTAGTGGCAAGCAAGTGCTGTATGGAAGGACCCTAAAGAAAAACACCCTAGCAACCACCCAGATAGTGCACCTGATTTTCATAACCCTTACAAAATGCTATGGACAAAGGTAACTCGCCCGTACTTCAATGAATGTACGTCAACCCACTTCGAGTCAGGATAGCGTCATTCACGAGGCCAACCGAGCTGTCTAGCGAGTTATAGTTAAACGTGACATGATACACTTGCTGATAGGTAACTTTCTAACTTTCTCCAACTGTGGAATCACTGAACGAGCAACCTTTTATTACGCTTGATTTTTCCACAACTGCTAGGGTACAAATGTTATAACATTTATCCGAACTAGGAAACTCTCAAGGAGTGCAAACTGGATAGCGGTCTGGTAAAGGAGAAATGGCGACGTCGACGTTAGCACCCAAGTATGTTGAGCTATCCAGTTCAATTGTCTTTAGGTTAGGTGCATATCCTTCATACAGTTCCTTCGCTTTCGCTTTTTATGTATATAACATGCGTAGGCCTCCGTAGTTCGCAACCTCCTCACAGTTGTGTTTATACTGGATATGTGTTTAGGCAGCTTTTATCCAGCTGAAGATATATCTTTAGGTGGCCTTTGACTCTTCGGTCAGCTCTTCCGCGTCCCGAGCAATGACCAGCTCCTGACTGGCTGCCGCAGGTACATTTTTGGCTTCCGATCAGACGTTAAAGATAATGTCCAATATGCGGAGGATGGCTCGGTGGTGTACCCGGCTGGGCACAATGTGGTGCTGTACTCACCGGATACCCGGACGCAGCGGCTTATCCCGGGCACGCTGGAAAGCGAGGGCATCACGGCCCTCTGCGTGTCTTCTAACAAGAAGCTGCTTGCGGTTGCGGAGCGCTCGGACAAAGCCATGATTAGCGTGTACGACATGCAAACCTTGAAGCGGCGCAAGGTGCTCATTTCCACAGATGCAGGCTCCAAGGTATGAGGCCCAGCGTTTGGACTGGGGACTCAGGGCCACGGGCTTGGTTATTGCCGTAGTGGGTAGGAGGGCGGAAGTGGACGTTGTAACCGCAGTCAAGGGCGGTTATGCCGGGTTTGGCATGAGTTTGGGCAATGGTCTTGGGTCTTGGTTTGCCCAGCAGAGCCCAAGGAGAGATTCACATTGCCTACTTTCAGCGGGAGATGGTCTAGGAGTACATCACCATCCTAGAAGGGTCGTTCTTCGTTCTCCAGCCCCTTCTTCCCAACCTCGCCCCAAACCTTCTTGAAGTTGTCTATCCCCTCCCCCTTCTCGACTCACCCTCCATACTCACTAATCACTACCCCCTTCATCCCATTCCTCAGGAGTACGTGAGCCTGTCGTTCAGCGGCGATGGCAAGACGCTGATCGCGCAGGGCGGAGCCCCCGAGTGGAATCTGGTGCTGTGGGTGTGGGAGAAGAGCAAAGTGGGCAGTGTGGTCAAGACGACCAACCAGCAGGGCGCGCCCATGACGAGTGTGAGGCAGGGGTTGGGGATAGTGGGGAGGGGATTGAAAGGCAACAAGGGGAGGGAAGGGGTGCAAGAGAGGGGCTTGCATGATAATGTTGGGAAAGATGGGTGCGATAGAGCCTGGCAGGAGAGGAACCGAGCTGGTAATGAAAGGGGGTCAGGAAGGGGGTCCTTTTGGAGTCCTCTGGTACTGGTCAAGGTCGTGGGGCAAGGCATTATTTAGTGCAAGCAAGCCCCTGCATGGGGCCGCCAGTCCTCCCATGGTTGTGCCACCCTAACCTGCCGTCCCCGGGCACCCTCCCTACATCCTGTTCCTCCCTTATAGTGCGCCTTCTCTCCTGGCGACTCGGCGCTGGTGGGGGTGATTGGGCAGGGCATGTTCAAGATGTACCGCAACGCGGACAGCGGCCTCAAGCAAGCCAATCCAATCATTGGGAAACGCGACCCAGCACTCGCGTCATGTCAGGTGGGGGCTGGGTTTAGGGCCGGCAACTGCGACGCAGCGCTCGCGCGTTGAGACAGGTACGGTGCGGGATGGCGGATAGTAGCCCGCAACCCTGTACTAAGAGGAAAACGGGTAGGGCAAAGGCATTTGGGAGGCATGGTGAGGTGGGCCCGGGCAGTGCGCAGTGGGGTTGGGTAGCAGGGCAGCTAGCAAAGGTGGAGGTATATGACTGACTGGCACGGGGCTACCCGGGAGGGCGAGGGAGAGCGGAAGCACATGTGCGAGGACGCCTGGTAGAGCCACCATTCTGGGTCGAGCTGCACGGTCCGCACCGCATCGACTTCTATGGCAGGCCACTTCCAACGGCTGACCTCCCTTCCCCCCACCTGCAGTGTTGGGTTCCCGATCCCCCGGGCAGCAACGAGCAGCGGGAGCGGCTGCTGCTGGGAATGGCAGATGGGGAGGTGCTGCTGCTGGAGGTGAGTGTTGGGGGCGGGGCCTAGGGATTGGGGATGTTGGGTACATGGATGGGCGACGCGGGCCGTGTATGGGGGAGTGTGGGGAGGTGCGCAAGTAGGAGGGCCAGCGATGTCCGTAAACGTTTTAAAGGCAGGGTATCCTAGTTCCAGGGTGTGCTGGGAAGATCGGAGGTGCAGGTGTTGATACGCAGAAACTGACCAGGACGCTCAGTAAACGTGGAGATTGCGGATGTGGAGGCATGCGGGATAAAATAGGGTGGCAATGGAGGGTTTTGCGTGTTGCAGGGGAGGAAGGGCGATTCGGAAAGAAACAAGAATTGGCGGGGAACGGTAACGGGCTCGGTTGCATTAGCCGCTCGTCGGGCCCTAGGGCCAATCGCCGCGACTCGAAAGAGGGTGAAAGATGGGGAAAGCGCCTCACACAGAGGGAGGAGCGAGGGAGTGGCGGCTGCGGGCCGGGTATGCCTTGATAAATGGCGGTTAGCGGCGGCAACGACGTGTGGGTTGCGCAGCTTGTCTAGGCTCACCACCTACCCTTATCCCTTTGCCTCACTCCCCAGGGCACCGACCTGAAAGCCGCCTTCTCCTGCGACAACGGCCTGCCCGCCGTCTCCATCGCCACCTACTCCAAGGGCTTTGTGGTGGGGCAGGACGGCGGCGTGGTCACCATCTTTGAGCGGGACGAGAAGGAGTTCTTCCGCAGGGCCCGGGCGTTTACTATTGAGGGCAACCCATGCAAAGTGACGTGAGTAATGGTCAAGGCAGATCATGAGCTATCAGATAGGGGTCTGCGGGATACACCCATGAAGGCCACAGCTGCATAGAAGTAGACCGCACCTTGGACCGTCCTGTCTGTCGCAAGGGATGTTGGAAGGGTGCCTGAGGCAGCATTCCTCTAGATGGGGTCGGTTGGTAGGGAGAGGGAGGTTCGTCGGTGGAAGTGCAGTGAGGAGCGCTGGCGAACGGGTGGCTGGTGGAAAGCGCACACTACTGGAGACAATAGGTTGGGTCCATTGCACATGATCCGACCCATCGACCCGCAAAACGACATCTTCCGGATCTCCTCTGCCCCTGCCACCCTTCCTTCTCCCCCTGCCCGCAGCTGCCTCGCCATCTCGCCCAATGAGGAGCACCTGGTTGCCTCACTGGAGAACAACCAGGTCTATACCCTGGCGCTCAGCAACCAGGAGATCATGAAGCAGGACGAAATGAACTTTGAGGTGAGTGCAGCGTGATGGGGGCGGTGAGGGGGGGACGGCTGGTGGGGCTCCGTGGGCGTGGGGCCAGCAACCCTGCAACGGATCCAAGCCGTTGCATAAATGCACAGGGGCTATGCATGGGCAGAGCTTGCGTTTCCCTAGAACGCTCGTGTTCCACGGCCTGGCCCCGACCCGTCCACCCACATCCCTTCATGCAACCAAGGCAACCCTGGCGAAAGCAGTGTCGTGGACCCTTCCATGCGGCCCAACCCCACCTCTTCCCCCACGTACAGGTCCTGGGCACCCCCAACCACGCGGGTCCCGTCACGGGTCTGGACGTGTGTGTCCGCAAGGCGCTGGTGGCCTCCTGCTGCTCCTCCGACCGCTCCGTGCGGCTGTGGAACTGGGTGGACCGCAGCTGCGAGCTGCACCGCACCTTCGCGGACGAGATATTCAGCATCGCCATCCACCCCACCGGCCTTATGGTGGGAGGAAGGGGGATGTGGTACGGGGGCAGAGAGACGCTTATGGGTCGTATGGAACCCTGAGGGAGGGTGCAAGGAACGAGGGGAGGGGGGTGACTTGTTATAAGCCGAACCCAGCCGAACTGACACTCTACGTCGATCCCAAAGTGCTCCACTCGTTAATATACTCCTGCTGGCCTAGCTGCTGGCCATCTCCCCTCCCCGCTTCTCAACGCCTTTTGCCCTGCATCTTCTCGTGTTCGGACCTTCCCCGCCTAGGGGCTGACCGCTGCCCTTGCCCTACTGCGCCCTCTGCCCCTCGCCAACCAGGTTCTGGTAGGATTCGCTGACAAGCTGCGACTGATGTCGGTTCTGATGGAGGACCTGAAGCCAATCAAGGAGCTGGGCATCAAGGGCTGCCGCGAGTGCTGCTTCTCTACGGGAGGACAGTGAGTGGGGGCGGGAGCGGAGAGGGAGGGAAAGAGAGAGGGAGCATCAAGGGCTGCCGCGAGTGGAAAGCGGGGGACTGAGGGGCGAGTGCAGCGGCATGCAGGCACAACATGGTGTGTAAGCGCTGATAGGGCGATGTCCGTGTGCTTGGAACAATGCTGTGTCTCACCAACTCTCCCCACCGCAGCGTATTTCGGCGCGCCACGTTGTCCTGCCACCACACCTTGGCCCCGTGCACATTGCCCCTCCTCACCGCTACCTCTCCTCCTGCTCTCCTGCTACCGCTCAGGTACTTTGCTGCAGTGAACGGCACCACCATCTCCATCTACAACACCTACACCTGCGACAACGTGGGCAACCTGCGCGGCCACAACGGCAAGGTGCGGTTACGTTGTGTGACGCATGCCGTATACACCTCGGTCGGAGCATCCAGAGTAGCAAAGGGCGGGGGTAAGCAAGAAGTAAACCAACTGCCAAAGCAGCATGCGGGTATGGGTTGGAGGGATGGTAACGGGAGGGTGACAGGGAGGGTTTCCTGAACCCAAGCCCCTCTGCCGCTCGCTCTCCCTCCCCTCCCGCTCGTCCTCAGGTGCGCTCCGTGGCCTGGTCGCCCGACGACTCCAAGCTCATCTCCGCGGGCATGGACGGCGCGGTGTACGAGTGGCGCCTGCGCGACCTGAAGCGCGAGAAGGAGCACGTGCTCAAGGGCTGCGCCTACTCGTCCGTGCTGGCCACCCCCGACTGCAAGCTGCTGTACGCCACAGGGACGGACAAGAAGATCAAGGAGTTTGAGGACTCGACGGTGAGGGAAGGGGACAGGGAGGGAAGCGGGACGCAGTGGGAGGAGAGGGAGAGTCTGGGGTTGAGTACCGTTATGTGACAGAAAGATGGGAGTTGGAAAGGGTCAAAGGGCCAAACAGAGGGTTAGAAGTCTCAGGGCTTGATGATTAACCCATGCACCTCTTTCCCTCTCCTCTCCTCCCCCAGGGCAGCGGCACCACCATCTCCAAGGAGATCGACACGGGCGGGGTGAACCTGACGCAGCTGGTGCTGCTGCCCAACGCGCGAGTCATGTTCGGAGCCACAGAGGGCGGCTGCGTGCGCACATACAAGTACCCGCTCACGGGTAGGGGGCAAGAGCGGGGCGGAGTGGGGGGTACAGGATCCTGCAAAAAGCACATGCGTTCCTGGGTTCGGGAGGCAGACGGGCGGGGCAGCTTGCGCGCTTGTGGGGTTGTGCAGAGGGGGGGGGGGGAAACGGGGTATATTGGCGCTGGTTGGGGTTGAGTGCGCGTTTCGAGGCGATTCGCCTGCATGCCTTCTTCCCCATGTCTAACGTGTCTGCACCACCTCAACGCCTCGAGCTTTCCTCCCCATGGCTCCGCACCCTCATGACTTATGATGCCCTCTTCCTCCCCACCTGCCTTCCCCCTCCCTTCCCCCCAGGCGAGTTCCAGGAAGCCAAGTGCCATGCGGCCGCCGTGTCACGACTGCGGGTCTCCTGGGACGAGTCGCTGCTGGTGAGGGAGGCGGGAGGGAAGTCGGCGTGTAGCATATCTTGGGTCGGGAGGTGGTTGGTAAAAGCGGTTACGAATTGTGTAACAGTTGTACATGCATGGCAGCCAGTTCCAGTTGCCTACACCAGATATCACCCTTATGACCCCCATGTGCACACCTTTTGACTTCCCCTCATTCTTTCCCCTCCCCCCCCCCGCCAGGTGAGCGGCGGCGAGGACGGCAGTGTGTTCGTGTGGGAGGTGCGCGACAAGGACGCCCGGGCCGCAGCACGCAGGGAGCAGGAGCGGCTGGAGTACTCGGTGGAGGTGCTGGTCACGCGGTGAGGGAAGGGAGGCAGAGAAGGGGGGGAGAGGGGCAGGGGGAAGACCTACTGCCGACTCTTTTGCCCCTCCACATCGCCTCATTTGATTACCCTTGTGGTGCACATGCTCTTTCCACTCGCCCTTCCCCCTCCCACTCGCTCCCCCCCCCCCCCCCGCACGCCCCAGCTCCGAGCTGGACGAGAAGCGCTCCCGCATGTCGGAGCTGGAGCAGCAGGTGGCGGAGCTGACCATGCAGACCGAGTACCAGCTCAGGCTCAAGGACCTACACCTGCAGGTATGCGGTGAGGGAGGCAGGACGGCGGGGAAGGAACAGCGGAGGAGGGGTGGGAGCAGTGTGGGGAGATTATCAGGGGATGCCGGGACCATGCCGACGTCCGCCCGGCTGTTTCCCCCTGCTACACTCTGGGTCCCATATCCTGATCGTATCCGCTCCCCCTCTTTCCCCTGCACCCTCCCCCACTTCCCCCCTAACAGGAACGTGTGAAGGAGCTGACGGACAAGTTCACCGCCGAGTCGGAGGCGGACCGTCAGAAGTTCGAGAGCCTGCTCGCGGAGAAGAACGAGATGGAGATGGAGTACGAGGACAAGCTCAAGCAGGCGGAGGAGCGGGCGCAGGCGCAACTGCAGGTGGGTGGAGGGGTGGTGGAAGGCCATACCAGACCATAGGAAACCACAGGTTAAGGCCATGGGGATAGGATACGGGGAGAGGGAGGAGAGAGGAGTGACGAGGGCGGCTCAGCAGGCGGAGGAACGGGCGCAGAAGCGGGGATGGGATGGGAGGGGGGCAGGGTAGAGGGGGGTTAAGACCCTTCCCTGCCGCACCTGCTCACGCACCCCTCCCCGCTCCTTCCCTTTACCGCCCCCACTTCACCCCTCAGGCGCTAGATACGCAGTACCAGGCCAAGATCATGGCGGAGGTGGAGCGCTACCAGGCGCTGATGCAGGAGAAGGAGATGCTGGCGGAGAGGTGAGGGGGGGAAGAGGAAACAACTCTTTGACCGAGGGGGGAAACTTATAGATAAGTGCAGCAACGCTGTCCCAATCCCGAATCCCGACGCATGCAGTGAGCGCATTTTAACCAAGGGGGGGTCTCATGTCGCTCGTGCATGCGTGAGTAGGCCGCCTTGACTGACAGCGCCCCCACCAGCATCGGGCTTCTCTCGCCACGTCTCCTTCCTCTTAACCCCCTCCCCGCCCCCTCTCCCGACACACCCACCCCGCCATGCCAGGTGGGACGAGCAAAACTCTCTGCTGGTTGAGTCGCACGAGCGGGTGATTGCGGAGCTGACGGAGGACTACGAGGCCAAGCTGGCGGAGGAGGCGCTCAAGATTGAGGCGCTGCAGGCAGAGAAGGTGGGTCAGGGGAGGAGAGGGGAAGGGAGGGAGGACTCGAACCCTAAGTTGGTGCGGCACTATAAGTTAGGCCATGGTTGCCAAACCCAATCCCTAGTGCTCACCAGAAGGAGAGCATTTTCCGAGCTAGTAAGTGCGGAAAGAGCTTTTCCGAGCCCTGCCCTCTCATGCAGTTTAGACGTGTTCCCCTTAACCTTCACACCTTCACCTGGTTGTACCGGCCTGCGATACCTTGACTCCGATCCCTCCCCTCGCCCCAACACCGTCACCACCCAACCAGGCCGAGTTGGAGCGGGAATTTGAGGAGATCAAGAAGCAGCTGGAGGAGGATGCGGACCGAGAAATAGAGGAGACCAAGGAGAAGTACGAGCAAAAGTGAGTGCATTAGTTGGCGGTTGGGCACGGTGGAGGGTTGGCTACACGGTTCAAACCGACCCATGGGTCTCAGCAGGGTGGGAAGGGAAGCGGGAGAACACATTTAGCCGTCGCTGCCGGTGGGCTTGCTGGTCCATGGGCGGTTGTATGAGGCGGCACGTCAAGGGTGCTAGGTATCGTGTTAGGTGCTTCCGTCGGTCGCCCTGGCTCCTGCAGTTTACCTCGAGCAACCCTCAACCCCTCCCCTCCCTCCCTCCCCTCTCTCCCCCTTCCCCTGCCACCCCTCCCAGGCTGCAGACGGAGCGTGAGACCAGCTTGCGGCTCAAGGGCGAGAACGGCATCATGCGCAAGAAGTTCAACGCGCTGCAGAAGGACATCGAGGTGGGTGTGCGGAGGGGCTGGCATGTCGGGGTTAAGCAGGATAACTCCATGGCGTCAAGGACAGTTGCGACCCGAGAGAATGTCCCCGACGGATTGGATTGTTAGGGCAGGAATGCTAACTGTACCTATGGCCCGAGCACCCTAACCGTCGTCCTCACCCGCATGCGCGCTTCCTCTCGTCCTCTTCCATCCCCCTCCCTGCCTCCTCCCTCCAGGTGTGCAACACCCAGATCAAGGAGCTGTACGAGCAGAAGAAGGAGCTGTACGCCACCATCGCCAGCCTGGAGAAGGACATCGCCTCCCTCAAGCGCGAGATTAGGGAGCGCGACGAGACCATCGGAGACAAGGAGCGCCGCATCTACGACCTCAAGAAAAAGAACCAGGTGGGGGGGGCGGCGGGGAATAGAACTAAAGGATACAACGGAGTCCCGGGTAGGGGGCCTATGGTATCTTGCCTTTTGCCTCGTCTGGCCCTACCGCCCGCTTGCTTTGCCTGGCCTTGTCATTGCGAATACCCTGAAGACTTGCAACCCTCCTGTTTCCAACCACCGTCTTCCTCCATGTCCCCATGTCTCCCTCCTCGTCCCCACAACGCCCTCCCCCCGCCTCTACCCCGCCCTGTCCCTCCTCACAGGAGCTTGAGAAGTTCAAGTTCGTGTTGGACTACAAGATCAAGGAGCTCAAGAAGCAGATCGAGCCGCGTGAGGCGGAGATCGGCGAGATGAAGGAGCAGATCAAGGTAGGAGGGGCAGGAAGGGTTTGGAGGGAATGGGGGAGAGGATTGGTCCAAAGGGGGCAGGAGGGGTTGGGAGAGGGCTTTCCCGGGCCGCGCTCCCCTAGCCTCCACATCTCCGCTACAGCTACTTGTCCTGCTCCGTCACGGCGATTCCTTGCACTTGTTACCCCGCTCCGCTCCGCTCCTCGCGACTCCCAGCTTTCCCTTCGAACTTCTCGCCCTTGCCCCGCCCCCTCCTCATCCTCTCCTTCCTCCCCTCAGGAGATGGACGGCGAGTTGGAGCGCTACCACAAGACCAACGCCAACCTGGACCTCACCATCGCCAACATGCGGCTCAAGCAGTCGGGGCTGGCCCAGGAGGTGTCGGACCAGCGGCGCGACAAGCAGGACGCGCACGCGCTGCTGCGCCGCTTCCAACACGACCTGCAGGAGGTGGTGGGCTTCCTGCAGGAGCCCAAGGTGCTCAAGGAGAAGGTGAGGGGGGGAGGGAGGGGTGGGGAGAGGGGCGTTGCGTGCTCCTGCGTCCTGACGGGCCACGAAGACCGGTTTTTCTGACATAGCTGATTACAAGAGCAGCGGCCACCCCTTCCGCCTTCCTAACGTGCCATGACCAGACGTTTCTCCCTCGCAAGGGCCGGTTCTTCATCCTTCCTTTCCCTCCATCTCCCCCGGGCAGTTCAACCCGCTGCGTTTTTCCTGTCTTCCTAACTTCCAAATCTCCACCTGCTCGCCCCCCTCAGGTCAAGTGGCTGTACCAGAAGCACTGCGGTGAGCTGCGGCTGGGCCCCGAGGAGGACGGGGATGTGGAGCGGGAGGCGGCTCGGCAGCGGGAGTACCTGGAGAAAACGGTGAGGGAGAGGGGAGCTGTGGGCTGCGGGAAGTCCCAGGGGCCCGGTGGGGACCGACTGATAACGGATTAAGATATCGGTGTAAGGAACGGGGTACATGGGATACGGTCGGTTTGAAATGGGATCGGAAAGGCGGTGGAGGTGCCTTAGGATGGTTGGTGTATGATCTTGCTGGAGGGCGGGCGGGCGGGTTTTCGCCAGCGATAGGCCACTTCTCGCATGTGATTCGGGTGTAGACTGGATCCTGGGAGCAATCACTGGCGAGTTCCCTTCCGCTGCCCTGACCCTTTCCGACCTCTTCCCCCTTCCGTCCTCCCCCCTCCCCTCCCCTCCCCTCCCCCAGGTTGACAGCCTGAAGCGGAAGCTGGCCAAGGACAGTGAGCTGCACCGCACCGACAACCTGCGGATCATGCAGGTGGGGCGCTGGATGGTTGGGGTGTGGGTGTGCAACGTGCCATTTTAATGACGGCACGGCAAAATGTCGACGATTGCATGCAGGGTGCGAATCCTTTCACCCATGCCTCGTTCTGTATGCGCCTTCGTAACACCCGCTCCCCCTCCTTCCCTCCCTCATCATCCCCCCGCCCCATTACAGGAGAACACAGCGCTCATCAAGGAAATCAACGAGTTGCGGCGGGAGATCAAGTCGCTCAAGGGAGGGGGTGGCGGAGGCGGCGGGGCGGGCATCATGGCGGCAGGCGGGGTGGCCGTGGGGGCAGCAGCGGGCGGTGGAGGCGGCAAGGGAGTGAGCGGCGGCATGGGCAGCGCGCGAGGCGGGCGTGTGAGCCCCGATGGGGGCGGCGGAGGTGGCGGAGCGGACAACCTGCGGCGGGAGCTGGACATGCAGCGGGACCTCATAGCGCGGTTGAGAGAGGAGGTGAGAGGCGGGAAGGGGGGAGGGACGGTGGGGGAGCGAAGAGTGTAGGAGGGGGGCGTTGCATCTGGAGGGGAGTCGGTAGGCGTGTTGCAGTGCGAGCGGTGGTGCAATGCCGTCAACCCGTGTATTGGAACCTAGTTAACACGCCAGAGGGGGGAGGAACAGCAAAAACATACCCCAAGGATCGAAATAATAGTAGCTTATCGCGGAAACTCCAAATTTGCTTTCAGCATTTTGTATGGAGTTATAATAAAGGAATTGGGGTTGGTTGTACGGCAGGGGTGGGTGGGGTGGGTCCGGAGCGTCAACGACATTTATATACAACGTCCAGGGGGAGGGTAGTTTCGCCGCAAAATCCCATGCTTCAATATCAAAGAACTCAGAGAGCATTCCAATTCTGCTTTCAGAATTGTAATCGGAGTTGTAGAGAAAAAGTTATAGGCTCCCAAAGTTGGCCGTACGGCAGAGGTGGGTAGGTGGGTCCGGAGCCCCAATGGCTTTTTCCTTTGGCCTTCAAAACCTTTATCTAGGTATCGTTTCGCCAAATGGATAGCAGATTTAGTACTCCTGTTATAGCATATGCATATTATGTTAATATTAGAGCCTTTGTGTGGAGTTTGTGGGTGGCATGTCCCCATGGAAGACCCTAGCTGGCCCAACGTACACGGTTGGCTAATGTGGAAGGGGCCCAAAGAGGAACCAAACGAATAAAATCACAAAGTTAGGGCAAGGTTGAAGGGGGAGGGCACGCAACAGGTGTACTGACGGCACACCCGTGGCTGAGGGAGGAGGCGCGGAACCCCTGCGCTGGGGCAGGGGGAAACATGCGTTGTTCTGCATGGGCTGAGGGCGGTGGGGTGCAAGCCCAACCTGCTACCCGGGGGAGGGGGCGCAGTCGTACCGATGGCGGGGTCATGTGATGTGAAGGCATTGGTTGGGAGCGATGGTTGTCCCAGGTGGGCTGGAGCACACTTACCAACGCAACCGTGCACTTAAACATTACAGCAATGCATGTGAGGTTTAAAAGCGAGATGTATCGGCTGGATACCAGAGAGCGACTCGGACATGTTGCCAAATGGTATGCCTAACGTGAGAATGACGAAGATCTTGTGAAATGGTGTCGAATGGTGCTTTCTGGGGGCCGATTTTGCAAAATTTACAGCGTTGTCGTACAGCAAAAACGGTACGACAGGGTGGGTGGGTGGTCCGGCATCCCTTTCTTGACTTCTTTAGCATGGGGTTTGGCAAAGACTTTTTTACCCCCCCTGCAACGTTGGAACTTTTTCACAGGCCCTAGGTTAGAGTTCTGAAAGCTTTATTGTAGTCCTTTCTTCCTTTCTTTTGCATAGAATTAGTTACTATACAGATTTATACCACATTGAAAAGGAGCAGCGTTTAGAGAAAGAAGTAGATGCGGCTAGTTGTGTGCACCGCATGTGCCGCCAGTCGTGTCACAAAGGTCGTGCACAACTACACGAATGACCTGCAGCACGCCCACCCCGAGGAACAGCTGACGGAGCGGTACGCAGTTAACAGGAAGGAGTTCCATTCGGTTTCAGCGCGACAGAATGGGTCACATGGCTGAGGGTAGCATTGCAGCACCCAAAGGCAGCAGCGGCTGGGGGGATGCTTTGCGGCTTCGGGGAAAGGTGTTTCCGCACGGCACCGACGAAGGCAACGGGGGTAGCAGCAGCAGCGGATGCGGGGATGGAGTGGGGGATGCAGTGCAAGATGAAGCGGATGCGGGAAGTGGCGCGGGGGGTAGTGGTCGTGGGCGTGGCGCGACAGGGGGAATAAAAGGTAGAGGCCGGGGACAGGGACGTGGCGGTGCCGCCGTGTCGGTTGGTGAAGACAGAGGCGGCGGTGGTAGGGAACTTGGAGAGCGCAAACGAAAGGGCCGCGGTGCTTCCTAGACGCGTAATACAAGTCTATGCAAAAACATGGTTACCTTTGCAACATAGTGGCTCAACGTTTGTGCCCGCCTCCCCAGGGGGTTAGGGGTATTTGTTCAGCATATAGCAAAGCTCACGCAGAGGTGTCAACGGTTTTCACCCAAGCGTTTTCGCGAAGTTGCACGACATGCTTGCCGAACGACATGGGTGGGTGGGTGGACCCAGGGCCTACCCTTAAAAGATTCATCGTGAGGTTTATACCGGTATTCCTTCCACGCCTTTATCCTTGCATATGTGATGTAAGGACCTGACGTTGCCCTTCACGATATCACTTTGTTGGCACTGCCCTGCTTTGCTTCTTACCGCGCCCCTTGTGAACCCCTCCCCTCCCCAGATGGTTGTCAAGGAGGCGCGCATCAAGCAGCTGGAGGCCATGGTGGTGCCGCGACCCATCAGCAGGGAGCGACTGCCGCCCATGGACGGCTTCCCCGCACCGCCGCCCGGGGGGGCAGCGGCACTGGTGGCGGGTGGGGGTGTGCCGCCCATTCCCACGGCTGCAGGCGGGGGTGGAGGAGGAGGCATGTCGGGGCAGATCCTGGCGGGCGCGGCGATAGCGGGCTCGCTGGGGCCGGCACCGCCCGGGGAAACGGGGGAGCTATAAGAGGAGTGGGTGACGTTGGGGGGGTTAGGGTGTACGGAGGAGCGATGACGTTGTATGTAGGGATTAGGTGCGGTGGGAGGTGTATGACACAGTGAACTGCTGCGATGGTGCTGTGACCCGCGTGTGCTGTACTCCTTGTAACTTTTAGGAATGCACTTACTGGACCATACTAGGTTTACCGGTAGGCGGCGGCGCAAGGATTCGTTACTTGACATCCCGCTGAATAGCCCGGGGTAACAGGAAGTAGGACTCCGACTGGGCTGTTTGCAAAGGGCGACGGGTGGTGATGATGACGTACACGACTTGAATGGTGATAACTCTGACACGGTCAGGCTGCGGTCATGACGCTGCTAGCTGGTGTATGCCGGGGTGGACAGCAGCTACTGCAACTACTCGGCGATGGGTGTGATGCTGACCCCGCGTGACTAGAGCACAAGACGACTAACCGCGTTGATGTATGCACATCATGTCATAGCGTAGGGAGGTGCCCGCTGTGGCAAAGCGGATGGTAGGTACCGGTAACCTTGGGGGTGCTTTCAACTCGTTTAACTCTAAAAGGAGGGGGGAATGAAGTTAATCTTGTACTTATAAGGCCTAAACCGTTTCGGATCGTGGGGTCCCACGATCGCCCTCGAGGGAAGGTAAAAACACTGATTAAGTATACGTCTCGAAGCATGCGCAAGGAATCAGGAGCTACCAGTACGGCCGCGCCCGTCAATTCTTACCGTATGAAGCACATGCGCTCGATGAGCTGCCCCCATGTTTTATGCAAAGTTTCGTGCTGCAGCGGCTGTATTCGCCGCCAGGACATGGGAGCAGCCGCTGCGGATCGGTATGAAGGCAGGTGGGTTAATCTCCAGCCAAGGCGTGGCCCATGTTAGCTGCCTTGCGTGTTGGACCTGGGTCGGGGTGTTGCTAGTTACGGTAAATCGCCAGGCATTACCCTAAAAAGCGATGGTACCAAAGCATCTTTTTGATGTTGGAACGGGGGGGTCTAGGGACGACGCCATTTAGAGACATGACCTTCTGCCCGCGACATGACTAAGAACGGCGGTTGCCACCAATAAATATGGCCACTTCCTCCTCATATGCCATTAGGTAGGCTACTTGCACAGGCAGTCATGCGTTTTCTAATTGCATCCACATCTGTGGGCCCATTGGGCAACGGCTCTGGAGGTGGCGTAGAGCTTACTGTGCTCAATGCTGCAAAAGCGTTGATGGCCCGTGGACACCAGGTTCTCGTCCTAGCCCCAGAGGAGTCAGCGTTGCCTGGTATTGATATACAAAACGTTGGAGGCTCTTGCCAGGTACCTGCCCAAGGCCAAGGTCGCGACGGCCCAATTGAGATGCCTGCCGACCCTGTTCTCGGCCGTATGTGGGACTGGGCGCGCCAGCACCAGCAGGAGTTTGACATCATAATTAATATCGCATACGATTGGCTACCTTTGTTCCTAACGCCCTTCTTCGTCACGCCGGTTGCTCACCTGATAAGCATGGGCTCGCTTACGAATGCCATGGATGCTGCGATTGCGAACGTCGCGCGATCGCAGCCAGGCAGGCTGGCTGCTTACAGCAAGGCCCAGGCAGATACCTTTCCAGTTGAAGCTGACTGGTGTGTGCTGAGCAGCGGCCTTGACATGTCGCTTTACAATTTCGTCTTGGAACCTGGCCCGTGGCTTGGCTGGGTTGGCCGGCTGGCTCCCGAGAAGGGCATCGAGGACGCAATCGCTGTCGCTACCGCTGAGGGCATGCCGCTTCGCGTTTGGGGCGCCATTACCGACCCCGATTACTGGGCTTCAATCCAGCAGCGCTTCCCAGCAGCGAAAATAGAGTACCGCGGCTTCCTGCAGACTTCAGCCTTGCAAGCGGAGCTGGGGCAGTGCGCCGGGATGCTGATGACGCCCAAGTGGGTAGAGGCATTCGGCAACGTGGTCATCGAGGCTATGGCATGCGGCGTCCCGGTCGTGTCGTACCGTCGGGGTGGACCCGCAGAGATTGTGGTTCACGGCGTGACGGGCTACCTGGCGGATCCGGATGACGTGGAGGACTTCAGGCGGGGTGTCCGGCAGCTGGGGAAGTTTGACCGACGGGAGTGCCGGAAGCGAGCGGAGGCGGAGTATTCACTAGCGGGCTTGGGGGCGCGGTTTGAGCGGTGGGCGCTGCAGGTGGTGGGGGCGGCTGCGGGCGGTCAGAGGGGAGGCGCAGAGCAGCAGGCTGGTGCCTTGGTCGCCTCTGCCGTTGGTGCTTAGGAGGCAATGAGGGCTGGGCAATGAGGGCTGGTGTAGCTGCATTGTTACTACCAATACTTCACGCGCAGCGATTGATGAGTAGTGGGAGGTGATGGGTGTGGCGGCTATGGGCGATATAGGGTAACTGCGTTCGGATCGTATGATTGGCCCCTGCATCGTGAATGCATTTACGGATATGTTGTACGGCCTCCCCATGTGGTGAGCTAATCTGTCAATAGGCAGGCTACCGTAGATTCCACGATAGTCCAGCATTACGGCCCTTCGTCGTGGCGCCGTATTGTAGCAGAGGTGCGCTCAATAGCGCCTGTTTTCTTTTCGGCTAGGCTTGTCTACAAGACAGTGTACGGCAACCATTTAAGTTAGTTTGTTTTCTGATTTGCAGGATGCACCCGTTAATGACCTTATGTGGGTGGTAGCAATCGTACACATTGCCCTTTAGGCGTTTAAGGAACAAGTTTGATGTTGCCGTATATCTATTGCCGTACACCCAGCCGTACAGTGCATGCCTTGACAACCTATTTTTGCTGTAGCAGCCCATCAAGTCATTCCTCCAAAGTGTGTATGCATACAGTTTAACCTCCAAACGTACGACATCATGGCAAAACCCACTCATACCACACGTTGCTGCGCCTCTAGCCCTCCCGCTCAACCTTTCACTCGATTATGCATGCAGCGCTACTTCCAAAACAACCGAGAAAATAGCAACTGCTACCGGGTAGTACTGCCCTCATTCGACACCATCCCCTCACCCCGCCTCTGCTGCCAACACAAGCCTCTCGGCCGGCGGCAGACATACCCTATCTAGCCCACTCACCACAGCTGCACTAGCCCCAGTAGCAGTACCCCACCCCACCTGTAGATAGCGAGAGCACGGCGAGCCAGCCGCCGCTCCCCCGCAGCGCCTCGATAACCGGCTTGTCTTAAAGACATCCATGCAGAGGAGGTCAGCTCCAGCCTCAACGGCGCCAGCCACCTCCGCCACCACGGCCGTCAGGGCCACCAGTCGCAGCGTTGCAGCCTGCCAGGCGGCGGGGACTGCCTCACCACCTGCCGCCAAGCATTCAGCCGCATGGATAGGCGAAACGCAACTGGCTCACCAGGCGACGCATTGCCGCCTTTACGGCCGGCCTCGACTCCAGTGTGACATAGCAGCGCACCTTGGCGGAGGCAGGCCGGCAGGCCCACCCCAAAGCCCCCTGGCGCCTCCAGCAATCCCTCCGCCGCCGCCGGGAAGAATGCCTGCTGCCGGAGGGTCGTGTTGATCCCGACAACCTTGCCACGGCGCCTGCGCAGCCGCAATGGCAACCGCGACCATGGACGCAACAGATGCACCGAAGCCCTCGCTCGACTGACCACAGTTGTAGCGTATGGCAGGGTCAGGCTGGCGTGATGGCATGTCCTCAAGGACGTTCCCAGTGTGCGGACCTCCGCCGCATCCGGAACGCAGCCACAATGCGAACCCACTTGGGGCACCGCTTGCAGCCGCGGCAGCTGGACAGACGACGTGAAGACCCATGGGTCTCAAGGCTGCTACCAGATGAATGCCCAACCCCGCTGGGCACAGCACTGCCGCCAGCATGCTAGGTCCAGTCTTCGTCCCTCAGCCTAAACCCTCGACTCCTTCGGTACATGTGTGTTGTACACCCTGTTGTACACCCTGCTGTACACCCTGCTGTACACCCTGCTGTACACCCTGCTGTACACCCTGCCGTACACTGTAACAATGGAACACTTAGTCTGGGCTTCACATTAGCATTGTTTATTGTGAGGCCTCGGACCCATCACCCACCGGCACGCATGTCGTACAGCATGTAAACTCCGCCGAAACGCCCTGGATAATGCCCGTTAGGCTCCCCTGCACAAGCCATGCCAAAACCCAAATTATCTATCCACTCGCACCCACCCATCCACACGCCTCCTTGTGCCTTACGCGCCAGTGCGCTACCTGGCAATCCCAGCAGCAGTGCCCCACTCGCCCGCACCGCTCACACGCCTGCAGCATCACCTCTGACTCGCTATCCCCAGCCAGGTTGGTGCAGCCGGGGTTGCCGCAGCCGCAGCTCCGCCCGCCCCACCAGAGGCGCCACATCTCAGGGGCCAGTACGGCAATCGCCGCCCGTCGCAACCGCTCCAGGCTCTCCACTTCACCTGGGTTGCTGCCGCCGCCGCCACCGCTAACGTCATCTACAGCAGCAGCAGCAGCAGCCACTCATCTAGGTGCCTCGCCAGAGCCTCAGCTGCACCACTCATGGCGTCCAGGTCGTCACTGCCACCACCGCTGCTGATAGGGCCGGAGGCGGCGCTGCCACTGCTGCCGCTGGTCCACCGGTCTGCATCTAGCAACCCTACCAATGTGCGCAGCAGCTCAGGCCGCCAGGAACCACCTGGTTCCACCGCCGCCGCCGCCGCACCTGCACCCGCCACTGCCGCCAGCCGCACCCGTTGCGGGCCATATGCCGCCGCCACCAGAATCGGTGCAGCAGCAGCAGCAGTCCACAGGTGTTGGTACTGAGAAGATTGGTCAGGCCCCAGCGCTGCTCCCGCCTAGCCGACTGCTCACATGCAGCTGCAATATGCATTCAAGCAGCGGTACGACATCCATCTCCACCAACAGCAGCTGCCGCGGCCGTCACCGCTGCTGCACACCGCAGCGCTGGTGCTGCTTTCGCCGCCGCCGCCGTCAGTGCGCCAGTGCCCTCGGGGCCGCCCTTGCACCACAGCGCGGCCCCCACATCTGCCGCCAGTTTCCCACGTCTGCCTGGCTGCAACCTACGACGGCCAGCTGCGACCCACTGACGGCAGCACATGCCGCTGTCGCAATGGCACCGGACCGGAGTCGTGATCCATCCGCGCCGCCCACGCCATCATGCGTCGACGGCACTGGGCTCGGCTGAGGGCGTCCGTATTCTGGTAAAGCACATCAGGCCGTTGCGATCCAAGCTGACGACCGCATGAAAGAGCCGCCACGTACGCAGCAATACCCGTCCGCTCCCGCCATGACCCAGGAACTCCACCGAATCAGCTGCGGGCTGCGTCTTCTTCTGGTGAAGCTCAATGCGACTGGCTCGTAGCATCTCCAACAGCCGACGCAAGACCCGCTCGTGCTCCTCCGCCGTCTCCGTGCACACCCGCAAGTCGTCCACGCGGCACACCACTGCACCGCCAGACGTCAGCACACCACACGGCACTGCGGAGGCCGTACAGCAACCGCGCATACATCCAGCGCTGCCTACGCCACCAGGAAGCGGTCTTGGGCTGATCCGACCCTTCGCAAAGGCAACTGAATAACAGGCCGCTCTGCAGTCGCACTTGCGGAAGAATCCCGTTAGCCAGAACAGCTCCTCCACCAGCGGAAGCAGCATGCTTGTCAGGCATCGTCGCCTCATTGAGCTGCCTCGCGGTCTCGTGCTTCACTGAAGGGGCAAGTCAAGGGTTTGGCAGACACGGCCCTGTTCATTGCGTTGGTCCTGACCGCCGTACAGCCGCCCTTGTAGCCTGTCCATCCCTTTACATTCCGCGCAAACAGGCCGCAAGGCACGTCAGTTCCGCAACCAAAACCCAGCAACCCCCTCTCTATCGCCGCCGGCATGCCTGCCCACATCCACCCCCCAGGCTCCCGCCCAAACCGCGTGTCTAGTGGCAGCTCCCTGTGCCCCTCAGGCGCGTTGCAGTCCGACACCCCTCCACCCGGCCTCACCTGCGGCGCCCAAGCAGGCATGCGCACGTCCGGCGGCTGAACCGCGCCGCCCGCAGCGGTGGTGGCGGCTCCCGCGCAGGCCCCTGCCGCCCCACCGGAGGCGGCACATCACTCGCAGCGCCCACCGCCAGGCGGCCCACCCAGCAGCGTTAATCCAGCCGATGCTGGCAAGTGGGTAGGATGATTTTGGCATGCTTGGCATGCAACACAGCGCCGCCGCCTCTCCATCCTAGACGGTATCGGAGCGCTGATAACGCCCCTGTTGTAATCACCCGGCAGCGTATCGTGCAGATGCCGCCGCCAGCGCCGGTGCGCCCGTCGCCGTGCCTCTCGTGCGTCGTCATCAAGAGGATGCAGTGGGCTGCGCGGGTGCCGGCAGTGGGCTGCGCGGGTGCCGGCAGTGGGCTGCGCGGGTGCCGGCAGTGGGCTGCGCGGGTGCCGGCAGTGGGTTGGCGTCGGCGGCGGTGCTGACGGTGCAGCGGCGGGGACGTCGGTGGGGGCGTGGAGGCGGTGGGGGCCGGCGCGTGGAGGGGGGTGGGGGCAGCGACTGCGGGATCTCGGGCGGGAAGGCCATTCGCAGCCAGCACGTCAGTTGTAGGTCGGAAAAGACCGGAGGAAGTCCGGAGGAAGACCGGTAGCTTGTTGCCTGCCCGCAGCTCCAGTAGAGCAGCCCTGCCTGGTAGCGCCTCCCGCCGGCGGTGCAGCTCCTCGGCTGGGTAGAACTGAAAAGAGTTCGGCGCCCAGCCGCCCATCCCAAGCTCGAAGCGTGGGGCCCACGTGGAAGCTTCTGGTTATTCCGCAGCTGTTGCACCCACGACCGGTCTTCATCGTCCCAAGGCCTCCTCCATCCGCCAGCCGGGCCAGGTGCTTCGAAGCCAGTGTCAAGGCTGCAGGCCCATGGGTCACAGAGCGCAAGCAGTTGAGCTCTTAAGGGCTTGAAGCGGCCTATGCACGTGGCAGCAGAGGGGAAGGGAGGGAAAGAGGCGTCAACGGTATGGTGTCAAGGTTGGATAAAAGTATGCGACATGAGGTCACGGCAGTCGCAGCTAATAAGCAACGGCTAAGGCAGCATCAAACCTTTGTAATGCGAATCCACAACCGCATGAGGCGTCTGGGGCACGCATGCATATTCTCTTCCTCATTCCCTCTTACCTTATTTCAGGGAGCCAGTGCTGCTGGGATCAACTGAAGGTGCTGCTGGGATCAACTGAAGGTGGCCGGTAGACGGGGAGCTGAAGAGCGGCAGGCGCAGAGCAGAGTGATGACGAGGCGGTGTAAAGGTGAAGCGGCGTGTGTTACCCCGATAGGTACGCCCCAAGACGCTTGTCGGAGGTCGCCAACAGCTAAGCGGCTTCATGGTTGCGTGCGCTGCAGCCAACCAAGGCGCCGATGAACCTCCCATTGTGGTCGACTTTACAATGATTAGCACTGCAGCGAAGGTGGCAACACCGGATGTCATACAGGGGTTTATAAAGAATGGTAAGGCAGGGTTTAGACAGGGGACACGTCATTTGCCGTGTCGTGAAGCCAAACTTCAGCAGGTAGTGACAGGTACTCCATACTGGCTAGGCCTCTAACCTGAATTAAAACCTTTGTGGTTGTAGTACACCTCGCCAGCATGGTCGAAGCGCTTGATGGGAATGAGCCATCTATGAAGCTAACGCGATGGGGAAGCCTGTCGTGTTCGGCCCAACCTGCTGAAAGCCACAACCGCAGGCTATCTCCGATTGGTTCCGGAAGGCACCAGGAACACGATGATGCAGGCGCACACAGATGTTGGCCTGCTACCTCAGCGGCGTACTGTTTTCATTCTTCGCTGCATTTGCCGCAGCAGTGCTCTGTAAGAGCCACCAACTGTAATGTACGCAAGGGCACACCTGCCCCGCTACGTTGCGCCCATACTTGACCTTAGGGACCACGTTCTGATAAGAGCGAATAATGATATCCTTGTATCCGCTCCTGCTGTCGCGAAGCTCATACTATGCGAGCATCAGCCCAGGTTGCAACAGACTATCTATAAGGCTGGTTCTGTCCACCTGCGCTTGGAGAATTTGCAGGAAAGAAGGCTCGCCTGGAAGATGGGGAATCCCCTCAACGTCGCCTTCTACGTCGGAGTCGCTGTTGCTGTCGCTGCTGCTCTCCACATGAAGCGTGACGTGAGGGATTATCGCCATCATAAGTAAGCTCAGCATATGTGACGTAAAGGTATTGGAGTTGCTGGAGTTTTGGGGGCCACCCGGTAGGAGACGGGCAAGCCCTTCCGCCAAGTCCAATTGTCGGCAAAAATGGAGTAGGTATGCTATTTTGAATATTAAAATAAGTGCAACAATTGCAGATAAAATTTTCTACATCAAAAGGCTGGTTTCACTGTGGTTTTAGGTGTCCATAGAAACAGGTCTCTTAGGTGTAGGTTTAGGAGCGCGTACGACCCATGTTGGCTTAGGCTTCATGATCCCAAGTATGGCATTCTCATCCTTTTTGCCTTGTGGCGATTGTAAGAGGGCGAGTGAGAAACAACAAAGATTATCTCCGTACAGCAAGGTGACTCTATACCTTCTACAGCGAAAACTTACATGACTTTCTCCCTCTCCGTGTCTTGAGTATCCCGTCTAAACATCCTCACAAACAACACCCAAACATACGACATCTCGGCAAACCCGCTCTAGCAGCGCCTCTCCCCTCCACTCGCACAGCCACCACGACCCCGCGAAACCGTTTGCCAATAGCCATGCACTCCGCTTAAGTATGGTTTAACGGATGATGGAACGTCGGTAGCCGCATCTTCCAGACCCTCACCAATGAACATAACAGCATGGTATATGTTTAACGTGCAAAGCCCCTGCAACCGTCCTCCCTCGATCTCTGTATGGAATGCCTTTAGAACAATAATAGCAAACGATGATGGAGCACCCCCTCGCCTCCGCTCCTACCTTCAAGGACAACAAGGCATAGCAAGGCCCAAGACGTGCATCTGTGGCATCGGTACTACCACCTCACCTCGATCCTCCTTTCTGTCGCTCGTTATCTACCTATGTCAGCCCCCGGCATTTTCCGCACTCTCTCTCCTCCCCCCCTCCCCTTCACTTTGGAATTTCTTTTTTTCCCTCCCCTTCTCTTTCTCACTCACTGGCTGCCCTCCTCCCCCGTCTCCGTGGGCAGGCCCCGGTGCCGCCACTGCTGCAGGCCTCCCTCCACCCAGAACAGGTTGTTGGCGCTCCAGCCGGCCTGCAGCGGGGGCGGGGGATGGTATCAAAAAAGGGAAGGGGAAGAGACAAGGAAGAGAGGATGAGGACGTACAGGGGACAGCAGTCGGGGTTTTGCAGAACTCTGGTACAGCCGTGTGGCAGGCACGTGGGTGGGTTCCTCGCACAGAGGACCGGGGCGGAAAGCGATCTCGTCGCACCCCCTCCCAACCCAACCCATCCCACCTCTCCCTATTGCCTTGCCCTCACTTGTGGTCTCTGTTACAGCGGGCTGGCTTCTCTCTCCACCCCACCTCGTCGCCCACAAGTGCAATCCCTATCACCTCACCCTCCCCTCTCGCTTCCGGTTTGTCACCCCTCCCTCCCGGTCTGCTCCTCCCTCACATTATTGATCAGCTCGTAGGCCGCCTTGAGCGACCTGGACTCCCGCCCGAAGGCCCTCTCGGGGTCGCGAATGGCCGGCTTCACACCCGCACGCAGGTCCAGCTGGAGGGGGTGGGGGGTGGGGGGGAGGGAAGGGGCTTAGAGGGGGATGATGGCGGGGAGGGCGTGTCGGGTAGGGGAGCGCGGGGAAGGTAGGGCATTGAAAAGGAAGCAGCCTCGGGAAGTGACGGGTGAACGGTTCCACATGCGTCACCCATGCAAGCGCCCTATCGCCTCCGGACCCCTCCCCGATTCGACTTCGTTGCTGCACTTCTCTATCATGTTCCCCCCAACACTCCCAACCCCTCCCACCAATGCGTCCAGAGTCCATCCTGCGATGCTGCACACCGGGCTGCGTCACAACAACGGCCACCCCAACCCATCCACCCCGCTTCGCCCAATCAACCCCCAACCGTCTGCAACGTCCACATGCTTCACAGCCCCTTCGCACCCCATACCAAAGCCCTCCACCGTCCCCCTTCCCCCTCCCCCGCCTCCCTCCCCCTACCAGCGTGTCCAGGCTGCCCCCGATGGCGCACATCAGCAGCAGCGGCTGGTTGCGCCGGAAGCTGGCCAGCGCCTTGGAGGGGAACTCGGGGTCGCGCTCTGGGGGGGAGAGGCGGGAGGAGGAGGAGGGTGAGAGGAGGGTGAGGGGGGGCACTGCGCAGGACACGAGCGGTGCTCACTACGCCAAGAGGGAGGGGTGGAGCAGAAGGCGGCCATGGCACGTTGTGATGGTTAGGATACAGAGGGGACAGCAAGCCTCCGCCGCTACCGGTAATCCTGCCAACATATCTCCCCTTCATTTCCTCGCCCATACCCCAACACCCTCCAATCAACCCCACCGCACCTCTCCCTTTCCCCAACATTGCTATCGAGACCCCACTTGCTTCACTTACTATCCACATTCTCCCCCTCATATTGCTTGGTATGGTCTTCCCCCCCCCACCTGTTGCCCGCATGGCGAACCCCACCGCCATGGCCGCCTTCTTCACGTTGTCCCAGAAGCCGCTGCCCGCCACGTAGCGGTACAGCGGCAGGCTCACAGCGCCAGCGGCGTGGACCTGCGGGCGGGAGGGCGGGGGGGGGAAGGGGTCATGGGGTGGGTGGGGCAGGAGGAGGGGGTACAGGGGGCTGCTGCGCTTCATTCCCCACAAGCAGCCCTGTTGGCCCCCCCCCCTCCCCTCTACTTCCACCCCCCACCTTGTCGTAGTCCGCCTGCAGCCCCCCTCCCATCCCTGTGTACCCCCACCTCCCCTCTACTCCCCCCCCACCTTGTCGTAGTTGCTTCGTCAGTGTCTCATCATATATATCTTTTTTACCCCACCTTGTCGTAATCCGCCTGCAGCCGCACGTCCAGCAGGGTCCAGCCCTGGGTCTGCTGCAGGGTCAGCGCCTGGGGGGGGAGAGGGGGGAAGGAGGGGGAGGTCAGGGAGTTGACAGAGGGGTAGCAGTGATGGTGGATAGGTACGGACGCCCTCAGCCCTTCCCCACGCTGGGTAGACCCGTTTGCTCGTCATGCGGGTCATGCGGGTCATCCCAGAACCTTCCGTGCAATTGATAGTGCCATGCGTTCCACACCCCGCCCACTCATTCACTTCCTCTCCCACTTCCCTTCCACTTCTCTCCCATTTCCCCCTCCCCGCGTGTAGCAACCCATGGTGAAGCCTCATCATACAGTTCGTCACTTTCTTCCTCCCCTCCCCTCCTCTCCCCCCCCCTCCCCCCGTCCCGCTCCCACCTCCTCCGGCGTGACGCTGCGCAGCCCCTTGCTGACCAGCAGCGTGTGCATGGCCGGCCACACCTGGGGGGGGGGGAGGGGGTGGGAGGATAAGTGCAGCAACCGGAGTCCCAATCCCATATCCCGACTCATGGGGGGGGGAAGACGAGAAGTGAAAGAGGAAAATCAGGAGTTGGTTTGGGAGTGAGGGAAGCACACAACTGCCGAGTGCAGTGCAGTGGTTTTGTTGGGCAGGGTGGTGGGGTGTATGGTTGCCAGCCTCCCACCCACCCCCTGCCTCCCCCCCCCTGCCTCCCACCATGACCCACCACATAGGGGGTGCCGCTCCTGGGGGTGGCCAGCGTCTGGTCGAATTTGCCCGCGAAGCGGTCGTCTCGCAACCAACTGGGGAGGGGAGCGGGAGGGTGGAGGGAGGGAGGGAACAGGGAAGGAGGGGGGTAACGAGGAAACAACTAACTGACCCATGGTAGGATGGAGGGGAATAAGAAATTCCAATGAGTGGTGTGATAATAATACAAGTTGCTGACAATCATGGTGGGAGGGAGGGGGGGAGGCAATGGAGTTGGGCTGCTGTACAATTGGCGAAACAGGGAGGGACATCAGACCCATGGGACTGTCATGTTCGGACACACGTCGGTCATGCGGCATGCGGTTAGCGTCCTGTGGTGGTTCACACCTCGGCCCCTCGTTGGCCCTCCTTGTCCTTGTAGCGGTACACAGCGCTGCTACTCCGATAAGCGCCCTCGACAAACTCGCAACTGCTCCCCGCACCAACATCATCCCCTCCCGCCCTGCTTGGGTCCGAACGGTACTGTACGCACCTATCCCCGCACTCACCGGTTGTTAGCTGGGTCGTAGCGAAACCCAACCGAGTCGAAATCAACCGGGTCCGCCAAGCGGGGCGCCCGACCCACGATGCGACCGCCAGAAGCAGACGCTACAACACCAGCGCGATATGGGGTAGAACCGGGTGTTGCAGTGCAGAAAGGGGGCCTCGAGATTGCAGGATTGGCTAGTAACAAAGACCGCCTGGTGTCTGTTGCGGATTGTGCGCCATGGCGTTGTTGACGACCGGGCCCGCGAACAGTTACCGCCGTTCTGCTGCACTCTATACTATGCATACTAACTGTTGAAGTGCGACGTTGATACGCCCTCTTGCTGTAGAGGTTCGCGGGTTGTGTGGTGTTGCACTGTATGCAAGTAAAATAGGCGAAAGCCCCGACGGTCTACTTATTTTGGTTACAGGTGTGGCTTGTGGTTACAAAGCGCTAACGTGTATGCATGAACGTTTTAGACAATTTGCACCCTGACAATCCATAAGCCCCTCCATAAGTTCCTACCAGCCCTATCCCTGTGAAAGGCAAAAATTCGTGCTGAGCCGTAGACGACATACTTGTGATCACGTTCTTCTGCTTCCACCTATTAGTTGATCCAAATGCTTTAACTTTCCTGGATAATGATCGCTTTATCATGAAGCGTTATCTAGATATTTAAATATGCAGATAGAGCATCATTGTAATGAAGAGCTGGAAACAGCCGGCGGTGCGGCTGGAATCGGCTGTAACCGATGCGGCCACTCTGCAATTGCGGTCAAGGCCCAGTCCCCGATGCCGGGCTTTAGCCAACGAATTGCCCTCGCATCACGTACTTGAAACATATGCGACTGATGGCGTCTTTCCATTGCCGCGGCGCAACCGAAGCACCTCGTTGCGGTCGTCGCAGCAGCCGCCGTGGGGTGCCTCCTTGGCCCAGGCAAGCATGTTTAATGTTATCACATCGCAAATGCAAGTTATAGTTAATGGATTGGTGATGAACTTCCTGGGCTTGCAGGCTGTTTGTCAGCATGGAGGAGCGCAACCGTCATTGGCGCCCTCGCCTATCGCAATGAACGACGAGGGGCCGAGCGGCCTACCTGGCTCGCACCCACGTGTCCTACTCCCTCCAATTCAGCTGGTGCAGGTGGGACCTGTATGGACGCGTGAAAACTGTGGGCAAGACATTTCACCCCACCTAGCTGCTGTTTGTTGTAATTATTGCGCTGATCTCTGGCTAACCCTGTGTCTCCTACATATGTTTCCTCTCTCCCAGGACAACGGCAACAGTGCCGCGCCGGGGCGTCCAGATCCCAGCCGTGAAGCCGGTGCTGCTGTCGGCAGTGAGGGCGAGGCGGAGGTTGAGGAAGGGCCCTACGCGGGCCAGCATGCCGTACAACGGCGGCTGGGGCGCCGGCGGGAGCAGACCCTGTTGGTTGGACATTGTGAGGGTGTGTTGCATGGTGAAGATGTATCCGCGCCGGCAGCGCTCGGCAGCCGGTCGCAGCAGCCACCGCACGTAATCTCGCATCAGCAGCGGCAGCCGCAGCACCTGCAGGGGGGGAACCGGCAGCCGCCTCCTCCTCCTCCCTCCCCTCCCCATCACCAACAGGCGCCAACCCCGCTGTGCCCTCCAGATCACCTTCCCCAGCAGCAGCAGCAGCAGCTCCAACTTAAGGACCAACGACAACTTGCACTGCGGCAAAGACGACATCAGCGGCGGTTACAGCGGAAGTACAGCACTGCGCTCATCCACGTACGGCACTGCCTGGCTCGGGCGCTCGCTGCCGCCCCCGACCCGGCCACCCTGGTGGCGCTGCTGGGGGCGGCGGTGCGGGGCCACCTGCTGGCCCCGCCGCACCTGCAGCCGCCAGCAGCACCGGGGGGCCCGCAGGGGGCAGGGGGGCGGGTGGGGCCGGGGGTGGTGCCGCCAGTGCGTGAAGGGCTGGGCCCGGCAGCGCCGTATAGCGTCAAGGGCGGCAGCAGAGGCGCGCCGCAGGTGGGGCTGGGTTGCGGCCGGCAGCAGCAGCGGCAGCCGGAACAGAAGCCATCGGGGGTGGCGCCGTCAGTGCCTCCGCCGCCCCTCCCTCCCCCTCCTTCCTCTCCTCCTCCTCCGCTGCTGTTGGATCCGGTGTGCATCTCGGCGGCCGTGTGCCACATGGTGCGGCTGGTGGCAGCGGAGGAGGAGGGTGGGGGTGAGCTGGAGGAGGAGGGAGAGGTGGGGGCGGAGCGCGTCCGTGGCGATTGGGTAGGGGCGGCCCTGCAACCGCACCACGACCTGTCGGGGGGCACACCGCTGGCGGGAGCTGAGGGCTGGGTGCAGGCCGAGCAGCAGCTGAGGGCGGCGCTGGCGGACGCGGCAGCAGCCTTGGCGGCGGCGGAGGCCGCAGCGGCAGTGGAGGCCGCAGCGGCAGAGGACGCTGGTAGCAGCGGGGGCCAGGCAGGGGGCACTGCAGCGGTCCAGCCGCCCGAGGCATCACCGCCCGACTCCCCGGTGGCGGCAGCGGCAGGGGTGCAAGCCTCGCAGGCGGCGTCGCCACCGCTGCCGGGCCCGGCGGTGGTAGCGGCCGAGCGCTGGGCGGGGCAGTGGAGCCGGACCAGTGGCGGGCCTCACAGCGGTGGGTATGCGGCGGGTAGCGGCACCGGTCCGCAGCGCACGCAGCAGCGGGTGCACTCCTTCCTGCGGCTCACCGCGGCGGCGCTGGAGCAGTGGCGGGCGGCGTACGACAACACTGCCACTGCCGCCGCTGGTGCTGCTGCTGCTGCTGCTGCGTCCAGGCATGCCACTGCTGCCGATGATAGCGGCGGCAACGGCGGCGTCCCGTCCCGCAGCAGTAGCAGCGCTGTTGGTAGCGAGGCCGGCCGTCGCAAGCTGGGCGATAGCAGTAGCAGTAGTGTAGGCAGTGCCAGCACCATCCATGGCAACAGTGGTCATCAACCGCTTCCAGCTCCACAGCTCGAGCCTGCTGCCGTACAGCCGCCTCGTGGGGTTGCTGCCGTACAGCCGCCCCGTAGGGTTGCTGCCGTACAGCCGCCTCGTGGGGTTGCTGCCGTACAGCCGCCCCGTGGGGGTGCTGCCGTCCGCCCCTTCCGTCCCCGCGAGCTCGCCAACGTGGTGTGGGGGCTGTCCTGTCTGCGGGCGCGGGATGCGCGGCTGGGGGGCCAGTGGGGCACCCAGGCGCTGCTGCTGAGGCTGGCGGGGGAGCTGCTGCCCACCTGGGTGCCCGCCCCGCCGCACCAGCTGCCGGCACCCAGCGGCCCTTCACCGCCGCAGCAGCAGCCGTTTTCTTCGCGCGGTACACCGACGTCCGCGTCACCACTGCAGCAGCCGCTGGTACCGGCACTGCAGCAGCAGCCGCTGCCCATGTCGCCGGCGGCGTCGCCGTTGGTATCGGTAGGCGTGGGAAGGGCCCCGCATCCTAGCGCTTTGACAGGACATGTGAGCAGTGGTAACAGCAGCAATAGCGCTAATAGCAGCAGTAGCGGCTTAGGTTTAGGTTTAATTAACATCAGCGCTAGCTGTAGCAGTAGCAACAGCAACAAGGACAGCAACAGTGGTAGCAGTGGCAGCAGCTCTGTCCCCACTAGCAGTGCTGTCAACAACCACTCGCTGGCTGAGGAGTTAGGACGGCAGAACGAACAGTCGCAACATGCGAAGACATCGGAACAGCTACGGCAGCAACAGCAACCGCCTCAACCGCGTTGGCAGCAACAACACCTGCAGCAACAGCAACCGCTGCAACAGCCTCTACCTCTACAACACCACCAGGACCACCCCCTAACTAGTAGCCCGCAGCGGCAGCGCGCACCTCAGCCCCCCCGCTGGCAAGCCGGCGAACTAGCCATGTTGGCATGGGGCATGGCACACGCTGCCGTACGGCCCCCCAGCCGCCGCTGGCTGCTGTCGTACATCGCCGCATGGGACGAGCAAACCCTGGCGGCGGCGGCCCCCTCGGATCTGGCGTGTCTCGCGTGGGCGCTGGCACGCTGGCAGCGGCTGGCGGCGGCGGCGGCAGCCTGGCGGCGGGACATGCCCTCGGCGGTGTATGGCAGCCGCTTCTTGCTCCTCCGCCACCGCCGCCCCCGTCAGCGTGCACCTGCCTCCGCCGCTGCCGCCGCTGCAGCTCGGGCGCAGTCGTTCAGGCGGCGTCCGCACCGTCGTCGTGGTGGTGTCCGGGAGGGGCGGGGGCTGCTGGGGCGGCCGGCCGGTATCGAGGAGCTGCCTGCGCTGCTTCCCGCCGCCTGGCTGGGGGCCTTCTGGGAGGCCAGCGGCCGGCAGCTGCAACACACCGTGATGGTGACGTCTGCCAGCAACGCTAGCTACGGCAGCAGCGGCAACACCCCCACCTACACCAGTAGCATTAGCAGCGGCGATGCCACCGCACGCAGCACCTCCTATAGCAGCAGCAGTGGCAGCGGCAACGACATCACCCTCGCTGGCCGTCCCACCCCCTCCCCCTCCCCCTCCGGCCGCTACTGCTGGACTGCCTCCGAGGTGGCGATGCTGGTGTGGTCGGTGGGGCGGCTGGGGCTGGCACCGCCGCCACACTGGCTGCATACGGCGCTGCGAGCGGCGGTAGCAACGGTCGCTCGTACGGCACCGCCTCCGCCGCCGCTGGCGCTTGCGACTACCCTGAGGGGGGCGGCGAGGCTGAGGGCAGTCCTGGGGGGCGGGGTGGCGAGTGGGGGCGTGGCGAAGGGGGGGAGGGCGCCGGCACCGGCGGCAGCAGCGGTGAGGGCTGCGGGGGCGCGTGAGGCGACAGCTGTAGGCAGCAGAGCCAGCAGCGGCGGCGGCGGCGGCGGAGGAGGAGGAGGCGGAGTGCCACCGGCACCGCAGCAGCAGCAGCAGCTGCTCCAGCGGCCGCCGCAGCGCCAGCCGCCGCCGCAGCAGCAGCGGACTACGATGACGCCAATGACGACTACGTCCCCTCCTCCTCAAGACAAGACGTCCATGGCATCAAACCTCCGAACTGGCATCACACCCACCACTGCTGCCACCACCACCACCACCACCACCACCGCCACCACCACCACCTCCCTTCCACCTGGCCCCTCCACACCCGCTCCCCACCTCCTCCTCCGCTCGCTGCCTGCTCCCCCGTCTCAACGACCCGCACAGGCGCCATCCGCTCCCCTCCTCACTCCACCTCCACCTCCCCCACCCCCTCCTCCGCCCGCCGGCTCCGGCCCAGCATCCCTGCTGACCGCCTTCGCTCGCGCCTACCTGCCGTACTGCGCAGCTGGCCTCCTCATGACGGGGGGCGGGACAGGGGCGGGGGCCGGCATCACCAGGTCAGCAGCAGGGGCACACATGGCAGGCGCGGCAGGCAGCAGGGGGCCCGGGTCCTGGGGCGCGGGGGCGGTGGGGTTGTCCTCCAGCTCCGCCTCCTGCCCCCCGCAGCAGGAGCGGCAGCCCTGGCGTCCCTCCCAGGTGGTGGACCTGCTGGCAGCGCTGCAGGTGGGGGTAGAGAGGGGGGGCAGGGGGGTGGGGGGCAGGGGGGTGGGGGGCAGGGGGGCGAGGTGCTGGGAAGGTGATAGGGGTGCGGTTGTTTGGAAGATGGGAAGTAGGGTGAGGGCTGGATACACACATGGGATCATCTTCGTTTCCCCTGATCCTGCCCTCCCGTGCGCCCCGCCGACCTTTCCACGCCGCGCACCGCTCCTCCCCCTCCGCCCCCGTCCACAGGCCCTCACCTCCTCCGGCCACCTGCCCCCCGCGTCCGCCTTCACCTTCCCCCTCCCCCTCCCCTCGGCTGGGGGCCCCGGTCAGCAGCAGCAGCAGCAGCTCCCCCTCACCGCGCTCCTAGACGCCGCAGCAGACCGCCTGCAGTGGTGCTCCTCCTCCTCCTTGCCGTCCTCGCCCCCTTTCCCGTCCTCCCCTCCCTCTGGTGATATCCACACTAGAGGTAGCAGCAGCCCCACTCACAGCAGTGGAAGGGGAAGCAGCAGCGCTCGCAACAGCTATGAGACCAGCCGCACCCCCGGCCCCCCTCCGCCTCCCCACCCTCCGCTGGTGGGTGGGAGGCACATGGTGGCGGCCGCCAGCGCCCTCGCCGCACTGGGCCACGTGCCTGCCGTACCCGGGTGGCTGGAGTGGTGGTTGGAGGAGATGTACGGCACGCTGGGCAGGAAGAAACTGAGGGTGCATGAGCTGTCGGCTGTGGTGAAGGTGGGTGAGAGGATGGGGCGACCCATGGGTCACAGGCCGGGTTGGGGCGCTAATTGCTGAGTGGTTGCTGGGGCCGAGTGTTGTAGCGGGGACCATGGGGGCGCTCATGAGCTCTCCTCGATGGCGGTGGGAAGGGTGTGTTGGGAACGACAATGTGTATGAAGGTGGAATGGGGATATCCGCGTTGGACCGGCTTCCTTGGGCGGCCCTCACCACCGGCACCGGCACCCCCGGCTGCACCCCCGGCAGTGGCGGCCTCTCCCCCGTCCCTCACCCGCCCCCGTGCCCACCTCCCCCCCCGCCCCTTCCCCGCCTGCAGGTCCTCCGCGCCTTCCGCCTGCGCCCCGGCCCCTCCTGGACCGCCCAGCTGCTTGCCGCCGCCGCCGCAGCCGCCCCCGGGGCCACTCGTACGGCGCTCACCCAGCTGCTGTACGACATGGGGCAGGCGGGGTTCAGGATGGCAGTGCAGCAGGAGGGGGAGGAGGAGCGGGGCGCGCAGGGTGCCCCTGTCGCGGTGGTGCCCTTGTCCTCCGCGTCCGCTGCCAACAGCAGCAGTAGCAGCGGGAGTAGCAGCAGCAGTAGCAGCAGCAGGGCCGGTAGCCACTCCGCCGCTGCTCCCGCAGCTGCCGGGTGCGGCGGTGCGGGTGCGGGTGCGGTGCCCTGGCGCTGGCTGAGCGCCTACCTGGGAGTGTGGGCGGGGGGCTGCAGCGGCCACCTCCACCACCACCACCACCACCACCACCACCACCACAGCTACACCCGCGGCAGCTGGGTGGCTCAGCGAGGCAGTCGGGGGAGTGGCAGCAGCGGCCCCGGGGGCCGCAGTGCCAGTGGGGTCCGGGGCGGCGGTGGAGGAGGAGGTGGTCCGGCGCGGCGCTGGTCCCGGCCCCCGGCGACTGCGTGGCAGGCTAACAGGTGGGCCCTGTTGGAAGGAGGGGAGGGGGGGGGGTGTTGGCAGGGGGACACCGGTGGGGACAGAGGAGAGGGGGTGGGATCGGGGCGGAGGGAGGCGGTTGATGAGAAGAAGCGAAGGGGGAGGAGGAGGGGGGTGGGCAGCCCGGCAGGGGTGTGCTGCAGCCGGTGGCACAGCGGCAGTGGGCGGTGGCAGGGAGGCGGCAGGGAGGCGTGGAGAGGTGTGGAGGAGGAGGGACAGGGTGTGGCGGGGGCTGTCCGGTCAGAGGTGGCGGGTGGGGGGAAGCAGGGAAAGCGCTGGACTAGGGGTAGGCCTAGCCCAGCATTGGTGTTGGTGTTGGTGTTGCTGACCTCCGGGGAAGAAGGGAGGTCAAGTGACACCAATCCCCAAACATGAGGCCAAGAGCACCGTACACCTTACCCCTTGCCAGCATCCCCTTCTGTTCCAACGTTCCCACCGGATTCCCTCCCTGCCTTCCCTCAGGCTGTGTTCCGCGCTCCGCCTTCTTGCCGGTTCCTCCTCCTCCTCCTCCTCCTCCACCTCCCCCCTACCCTCCCCCCTACCCTGCCGGACCCACTGGCCGCGCCACACCCAACTGGCGCTGGCGGCGGCGCTACGGCAGTCCCCTTGCGGCCGGCAACAGCAGCAACAGCAACAACAGCAGCAGCAGCAGCAGCAGCCCGGCCGGCAACAACAACAGCGGCGGCGGGAGCAGCTGGCTAACCAGATAAGGCAGAGGAGGGCAGGAGGGCAGGAAGGGAAGAAGGGGAGGGGCGGAACTGGGCGGAGGACGGAGGGGAAGCAGCAGTCGCATCGACAGCTGAGGGGTGAAGGAGAGGGCGGCTCGCCCCCACCACCACCACCACCACCACCACCGCTGCAGTCAACCCCGCAGTCACAAGGGAGGCGTGGGCAGCGGGGACCACGACGCAAGGGTGGGGCGCATGCAGCAGGAGCGGAGTGCAGTGGGGTTCTCCAACTGAGCTCCGAGAGAAAACCACTGACCATGACCTGAGTAAGGCCATAGTAAGACATGCTGTCGTCGGATGGAGGTTGCAGGGAGTGGGTGCTGGATAGGTTAAGAGTGGTTCACAACCCCATGACGGATACAAGGTAGTGGTTGCGCGCGGAGGGAGGTGAGCGCACCACATCCGGGCGCCGCATGCGAGGCGCTGCACTGTTGTGGAGGCTTGGTTCATGTGGAGGCTGGGGTGTGCGCGACATGCGGTTGCTGGGAGTGGTCCAAGACAGTAAGGCGCCCGCCATAAACATGGGAGTCTTGCGTGCAACGGAATAACGCCAAAATTGAGCTGCACGCGCAAGGGTTACTCGTGGGCGACCCGAGTCTGCTTTTTCGGCCGAATTGCATCTTTGGGAAAGGGGTGCAGGGGACGGGAATGTGTAGCAGGGTCGGATGAGCCGGGTGGGCGGGCGGTCCGGGAACTGGCTCGGATGCACGGGGTTGCGGATGTGCGTGGGTTCTGCACGGACCCATCCGCCACCGGTTCCTTGCTACCGGTTCTGTGGCAATTCCTTTTCCCGTTGCCCCACATGCCACAGCCACAGCATCCCCGGTGTTGTGCCGTAGTAGGCCCCCCGGCGTCCGCGACGCCCCTAAAACAGCCAAACACTGTCTGGCCGCGCATGTACACAGCCTTGAACAGCGCGGCATGGGGGCCAGGCCAACCTGAACGACATGTGCTGAGTTTGTCGGGATTATATTGTGGTAAGTTGCTGGAAAAGGCGAACAGTTAGCATTAAATCCGGTTATCCTGCCCATCTACGCCAGGCAACTGGTTTTGCGTCTCCGGCCCGTCGTCCAAGCACAAGGACGACAGAGCCTAAGCTGTCGATGATCCAACAATTATCTTTGCGTTCGCATATTATTCTGAACGGTAGTCCGTTTCTCTGCTTGGCAACACTCGTGGCGAACATCACAAACGCGGTGCTTTTAACCGCAAATTAGAAGTAAAACCGCAGGCCACCAAACTCCATGTAGTCCCTAGAGGTGTGTCATAAGTTGAGATCACTTAAGCCCGAGCTGGGTGCCTTCAGTGCTTCGGCTTGCTTACATCTTCGTTATCGTACAGGTTGCGGACAACTGCCAACTTTCTGGTTCGCGACCGGATTGGCGTGCAATTGTCCAACCTCTTCTTACCTGGATCCTTCGTAGAACTGAAACGGAGCATCTCGAGCAGATCGCCGTAGCGGAAAGGACACGGTTAGCATTGTCCCGACAGACCTCAATTGAGCCCATCAATTGCAGTGCAGACGTTTGCTATCGAAGGACATAAATGCGGCGGGTGTGGGCTAGTTATTCTGTATCCCACACGCCGCCGCATTGCTAGCGTTCTAGGGAAGGTCTAATCGAGAGGACAATTGCAAAAATAAGCTGCTGATTACGCTCTATATATAGCCTATAAGCGCAAATGTATTGTGGCCAGCTCGACTCAGCCCTCGGACGGCAAATGCCCCGGTTGCCGGGTCGTCACAAGTGCTTGCAGCAGCTATCGCTAAGGACGACCATCCACGCCCGGACGTATGGCTCACGAGCACTCATACACCGCAATTACGGTGTAAGCAGCCAACATGGGCTGCGACAGCAAGCATGCGTCGTCGCAGCAGCTGCTGCTGAAGCGCAGGAGGCAGCGCCAACAGCAACTCAAGCCAGCGAAGCTCTACAATTAGAGCTTACGGAGCAAACCCAACCACAACAGCAGCAACTTGCGGACTTTCGGCTGGACGGTGACGCGGCATTGCTGTCGGACTTCCATCGAATGGACGCGGCTCGCAGCGCTGCGGCGCCCGCCTCGCTTGACGTGTGCGCTCAGCGGCTGGTGACGGACCCCGCGGAGCTGGAGCTGGTGGGGGCGGGGCTGCCCATCATTGACGGGGTGAGCGGGCAGGGGTTGGGTGTAAAAATAAGGAAGCTGACGAGGCGGGGTTAGGGGGGCCGCCCGGGGCCAGGTGACTAGGGACGACGGCTGCTAGGAACGGGGAGCGGGGAAACAGACTGGGTTGTGGTGGGGTGCTGCTTGGCGTTGGTGCGCCAGCTTGGCACGAGGTTGGGAGTGCCGTTGCTCCCGGGTGACGACTACTCCCGGGGATGTTTGCTAGCAGGCGCATGTTTGTTGATCGGTGCCGTGTCGCCGGGCTGAGGGCGTCCCTCCATTGCGCCCGGATTCTCCCTCCTTGCCCACCCTTGCCCACTCGCCTCTCAGCGTGCATGCCCTGCCGCTTTGCCCTGTCACCACCCTCTGCCCCCCCTCCCTCCCTCCCTGTCACCACCCTCTGCCCCCCCTCCCTCCCTCCCTGTCACCACCCTCTGCCCCCCCTCCCTCCCTCCCTTCCTTTTTTCCCTCCCTCCCTCCCTCCCTCCCACACAGCCCGACTGGCCGGACCAGTACTGGCAAGCGCTCAAGGTGCGAGTGGGAGGGAGGGCAACAGCGAGGGGGTGCCAGGGGGGTGGGGCAACAGCGAGGGGGTGCCAGGGGGGTGGGGCAACAGCGAGGGGGTGCCAGGGGGGTGGGGCAACAGCGAGGGGGTGCCAGGGGGGTGGGGCAACAGCGAGGGGGTGCCGGCGCTGAGAGAGCGGGACACATGCGGGGGGTGCAGCGGGTGCAGCGGCAGTGGGCCGGAAACCCGGAACACGTGTTGGAAGAGGGAGGGGGGGAGGGGGCTGTGTACGGCGAACTGTGCTGGCGTTACCCCGGGTCCACATTGCGCTAGCCACTCCCCAACACCCGCCTACCCGGAACTCCCCTCCCCCCGCTGCCCCCTCTCCTCCCCCCCCCGCAGACCATGTCCTCGGGCAAGCCGGTGCCCCCGCCCCGCCCGCACCCCAAGTTCACCTCGCAAGACCTGCAGCGCATCGCGACACAGCAGTCGGCAGCGGCAGCAGACTCCTCCTCCGGAACCACCACCAGCACCACCCCCAGCAGCAGCCGGGGCGGCGGGTTGAGGCTGGAGGACCTGGTGTTGGAGCACGTGGAGAGGTTGCCGGAGGCGGCAGGGGAGCAGCAGGGGCAGGGGCAGGAGGGCGAGGGGGCCGCTGTGTCGTACCGCTACATCCCCCGATCCGTACTGGGGGACTATACGACGGAGGTGGGAGGGGGGCTGGAGGGGGGAGGGGGGGAGCGGGCGGTGGGGTTTTGTGTGCGGGTGGGGGGATGTGGTGTAAGCCAGTTGCAGGTTGCTGGTAATGTTGGCGCAGCTGGGCATCCCTCGCTCCCTCCGCGGGGTGGGGCGGCTAGGGTGGGTTGGAGGTCCCTCAGGCGCGCAGCCTGAACGACCCTCGGTGAAGCGCACGGTCCGCCCCACTGGCATTCCCCTCCCTCCCCGGTACCCCCCTCTCTTGCCAGTGACTAACTCCGCTCTCCCCCCCACACTGCCCCGTAATGTAACATTGACTTACTTGTTTTGTGGCTCCCTGCCAACAATACCCATTGTTTTGCCCTACCTTTGTGGTTTGGTTTATTCTACCCCCCACACTGCCCCCCAGGTTGAGCCCGACTGGCGCTCCCTGCCTCAGATCTCCATCGTGCAGCTGTACCAGGGTCTGCGGCAGCGCAACTGGACCAGCGCCCACTACCGGCCGGATGCGGAGCCGTGGAGGGTGCAGCTCTTCGCCTGCGACTACCTGTGAGTGGCGGGGGGGGGGAGGGGAGGGGGAAAAGATGTAGAGAAATGCATCAACGGAGGAAGTGCATCAGGGGAGGGGGAGGGGTCAAACACCGTACCGGACCATAGGAAACCACAGGTTGGGGGAGGGGGGAACACCTTTGTGGGGTTAAAGTAAGGGATTTAATTAGGTAACTGACGAGCTGCATGACAAGGCTTCACCATGGGGTGCAAACATGGCAGCCGACCCGAGACTGTGTGGGGCGGGAGGAGCCGTCCTTCGGACAGGCAGGACGCGTGCATCTACCCCTACTCGCTTCTCATACATAATTAACCCCTGGTCTTTTCCCTCCCCCTCTCCCTCCCCCTCCCCAGCCACACCGGCGTGACGGGGTGGACGGGGTGGCGGGCGGTGGTGAGCAGCCCGGGCGACCCGGGCTTCCGCGCCTGGGTGGACATGCCGGAGGAGGGGGAGCTGGTGGCGCTGGGGGAGCAGGTGGGGGGGGGGGCGGGGAAGCGTGTGCGTTTGGGGGGGAGCAGGTGCGTGTCTGCTGTCAGCCCTACGTGCAGCTACTACCACTGTGCGGTGGCAACATGCTGCAAGCAAGCCCCTTCCCTATCCTCCACTCCGGTGATGTCTGGGTTACGTTTCGGGCGTTGGCAAGCAATCTTCTTCTCGTTGGCCCCCTCCCTCCCTCTCCCTCCCCTCCCCTCCCCCCCAGGCCCCCCCTGCCGAGCTGGGTGAGCTGGGCTACCGCCACATATTCGCGCAGCTCTACCAGGCGTACGAGGCGAGGTAGGGGGGGGAGAGGGAGGGGGAGGGGGAGGGGGGAGAGGGGAGGTGTCCGCCGCTCCCGTTCCCATTGCTTTCCACGTTTGCCATCTTGCCACCATCTTGTGTTCGGAGCGGGTTGGTATCATACAGTATACACACCTCTCCTCCCCCCCTCCCCCCAGGTACCCCCCCGAGGTGCTGGCCGCCATGTACGGCAGTGTGGGGGGAGCCGCCCGGGCCGCACAGCTGGGGCTGGGGCCGGGGGTGGTGGCGGCGGCGGCGGAGGTGGCGCAGGCGGGGGGGTTGCCGGTGAGGGGGGGAGGGGGTGGGGGGTAGGGTAAGAGGGGATGGTTATTCTGGGGCTGAAAATAAAAAAGGGGGGAAATTATAAAAAATAAATGCAGCAACTGGAATCCCAATCCATGTTTCAATGTGTGTGGGGGAGGGGCAGCGGCGGGGCAGTGGATGGGGCGGGGAGTGCTCAGTGGGGTGCCACGGGTGTGTGGGTGTGTGGGCGGGTTGCCGTCAGCGGACCTGGCTAACCCCACCTCACCTGCCGCCCCCTGCTCACTACTGTCCGGACTCCAGTACGGTGCTAGGCACCCCCGTTGGATGCCCGCAGCCTTCCGACAGCCAGTGTTTCCTTGCGGCTCAGTTGCATGACCCCCTCCCCCTCCCCCTCCCCCACCCTTCCCCCACCAGCACGACACCCCGGCTCTCCGCCTGCTGGACGTGTCGTACCACCGCACCGGCAACTCCGTACGGCACCCCCTCACCGCCTTCCTCATCCGCCCCTCCTGGGACGGACTGGCTGCGGGTCTGGCTGCGGGGTTGGAGCGCAGCGGGCTGCGGGAGCTGCGGGCGCTGCGCGACCGCCTGCTGCCGGAGTGGCGGCTGCCGGAGCTGCGAGTGACCCGCGGGCACAACAACCTGGGGGTGGTGTACTTCGCGGTGTGTCTGACACTGGGCATCGTGATACCGGCGCTGAGGAGGAGCAGGATCCTGTGAGTGGGGTGTGTATGGGGATTAGATAAACTGAGCCACGGAAACACTGACCTGGGGTGTGGAGTGGGCGAAGGCGTTGGCTGTGAGGTTCGTTTGAGACGTTACAGGAGGCCTGTTGGCCCCCAATCCCTCACACCACGTGTGCTTGTCGTACGCTGTTGTTCCCGCCCCCATCGTATCCCCTAACCCCTTGCCCTAACTTGTGGTTCCCCTCTCCCCCCTCTCCCCCCTCTCCCCCCCCTCTCCCCCCTGCTCCCCCCCAGCGACATCAAGACCCTGGAGGAGGACCCGGGTGCCGCCATGGAGTTCGCGCGCTCCAAGAGCGAGGCGCGCAAGGAGGGGCTGACGGGGGTGGAGTTCAGGGACGTGGCGGGGCTGGGGCCCATACTGTCGGAGGTGGTGGAGGTGGTGGAGGTGAGGAGGGAGGGGGGAGGGGAGGGGGGAGGGGAACTGGATAGTGAAGCACATTCTCGCCCAATGTGCGGGGGTTGTGGGCTGCGGTGCAACACGCCATGTCCCTTGTTGCCTGGATGTGCGTGTCCCCGGCTTGCTTGGTAGGGGACGAGTGTGGAGGGGTAGGGAAGGGAAGCGGTGGAGGGGAGCGGTCTGGCGAGGGGGCAGGAGGGCAGCGCTGAGGCCGTATGGGTGCGCGTGGTCTTCCCGCTGCACCCGGGCATCCCCCCTCGTCATCCAGTTCGTCAGTGTTCCTTATTTTTACCCCTTCCCATCCCCATCCCCCCCCACCTGCTCCCCCCCCTCCCCCCCCTCCCCGCAGTTCCTGAAGGACCCGCAGTCCTTTTCCAAACTGGGTGCTCGCCCGCCCAAGGGAATTCTGCTGGAGGGAGATCCGGGTGGGTGGGGGGAAGGGGGTGGGGTGAGGGGTGGGGGGGGGGCTGGAAGGTTGGGGGGGACTCGGAGGGGAGGGGGCTGGGAGGGGGGAAATTGCGACTCATGCAGTGAGCGCACTGGGAGACACTATTCTAGAAACACCCAACTCAGAGACTTACTGATTGCTTGCTTACCAGGGAGCTCGGAAGGGGGGTGGGGAAGTACATGGACCGGAACCTGGGACGTTCCGGGCGGTAAAGGGGTAACGGCTCGTACGGGCGTTTACCGAGCAACTTACCACCCACACTCGCCCTCACCGCCTCTGTAGGCCCGTAAACCCTTCCCCTCCCCCCCTCCCCCCCTCCCCCCCAGGCACCGGCAAGACGCTGCTTGCCAAGGCGCTGGCGGGCGAGGCCATGGTTCCCTTCTATCAGATGAGCGGCACGGAGTTCACGGAGGGGATTGTGGGGCTGGGCGCGGCGCGCGTGAGGGACCTGTTCAAGCGAGCTCGCGCCACCGCACCCTGCGTCATATTCGTGGATGAGATCGATGCGCTGGGGCTGAAGCGAGCGGAGAAGGGTGGGGGCGGAGGGGAGGGAGCAAGGCAGGGGTTGGCCCGGGGGTTTCTGGGACTGAGTGGCCCATGGGCGGTTGACTGCTCCCCTCCTCGTTTACGGCATAATACCTTCTTCTTCTTCCCGCATCCTGCCGCCTCCAATCCCCATTGCTTTGCCCTAACCTGTGGTTCCCCGTGGTATGCCCCTCCCTTGGCCCCCCCTCCCCCCCACCCCTCCTGCCAGACTCCGCCAAGACCAACGAGGAGCGCGAGCAGACGCTGAACCAGTTGCTGACGGAGATGGACGGCTTCACGCCCGACACGGGGGTGGTGTTCCTGGGCGCCACCAACAGGGCGGACTTGCTGGACCCCGCGCTCATGCGGCCGGGGCGCTTCGACCGCAAGATTCGCATGCCCAAACCCGACACGCAGGGGCGCTTCGAGATCCTCACCCTGCATCTGAGGAACAAAAAAGTGGGGGAGGGGTGGAGGGGTGGGGGGCGGAGGGTACGGGGACCCAGGTTGCCTTATGCGGTGGCGCCTGCTCTGCCTCACCGCCTCCTGTCGGGTCCCCTTACCCCGGCGGCCGATACAGCCCATGATGCGCTGTGCGCCGGACACCGGGTCTGCACTCCCCTCCCCTTCCAAGCCCCCCCAACAAACCTCTGCCCCCCCCTCCCCCCCTCCTCCCCCCCCAGCTCTCCCCCGACGTGGACCTGCTGCAGCTGGCTCGCGACCTGCCGGGGTTGGCTGGGGCGGACCTGGCCAACATCGTGAACGAGGCGGCCATGAACGCGGCGCGGGAGGGGCGGGATGTGCTGGCGGCGCGGGACATCTACGCGGGGGTGGATCGCTTCACGCAGGGCGAGGTGCGGCCGCCGCTGCCGTCCACACACAAGCTGCCCGTGCTGTGCTTCGCAGCAAAGGAGGTGGGGGGGGGTGGGGGGGGAGTGGCGGGGATGGGCGGGGTGTGACGCGGTGGGTTTGCGGGGACCTACACGGGGGGGGATGGGGCGACGGTGTGTTGAAATAACTGGCCTGGTGGGGTTGCACCACACGGGGGGGGGCGGGACAACAGGGGGGGCAGGTGTTGTGCGCTCGCCCCACCCGAATGCACGTGGTGGCGTGCCACCGCGCCTGCAACGTCGAAAGGCCCCTATATGGCCTAACGTCCCGGGTTGGGCCTCTTGCACTGTGACAGCACTCCCCCCGCCACTCCGCACTCCACTCCCTCCCCACCGCTTGTTCACCTCCTTATCACCTCCCTCCCCTCCCCTCCCCCCTCCCTCCCCCCCAGATCGGCATCGCGCTGGTTGCGGGCGTGTTGCGTCAGCGGCACGGCCGCATAGAGGCGGTGGAGCGGGTCAGCATACAGCCCAAGGGGAGGGCCTTCAGCAGGACCATGTTTGAGAGGGGTGAGGGGGGGTGGGAGGCTGGGAGGTTGGGGGATGGGCGGGGTAGGGATGGAGAATCGAACGTGTATCTTAGGGCGGGGGGAAAGAGGAGGGTGTTGCGGCGCGCAGCGGTGTACGGATCCCGAGTGAAGCTGCCGGGGTTGGACTGTGGGGCTCTGGCAGCTGCCATCTGCTTCACTTCTCAGGTATTTGCCTTCCTCCCGCCCCCCTCCCCCCATCCTCGCGGATCCATGGGAAAATGCATCCCTATTAATCCCCCCTCCCCCCCCTCTTCCTCCCCCCCTCCCCCCCTCCCCCCCCCTAGGCACCGACGAGGACTACCACGTGATGACGCGGGGTCGGCTGCTGGACCGCATGCGGGTGGCGCTGGCGGGCGGGCTGGCGGTGCGGCAGGTGCTGGGGGAGGACACCAACTTCACAGCGGCAGGTGGGGGGGGTGGGGGGGGAGGGGGAGGGGGGGCGCCGAGACTGGGGGTTGGCATCCTGGAAAAACAATGAGGGAATTACTTTCCTTTCCTCTTTCCCCCCCGCCCCACCTCCCCTCCTGCCCCCACACTAACCCAATATACATCCCCCCTCCCCCTCCCCCCCCTCCTCCCCCCCTCCCCTCCCCCCCCAGACCTGCAGCGCGTCACCCGCATGGCCAAGCGCTTCGTGTTCTACTTTGGCTTCAGCGAGCAGCTGGGCATCACCGCCTGGGCCAACCAGCCCTACTCGGGGGATTTCCTGCTGGGGCAGCAGCGGGCGAGGAAGGTGAGGGGCGGGGGGGAGGGGGCTGGGGGGGATAAATGACAAAGATCAGCAACTGGAGCCCCAATTCCACATCCCGGCTGGCGGGAGTTGCATGGGTGCGTTTGTCTCATGCCTGCTCATGTTGTGCGCGCTGCTCGCCTCCTCCCGCTGCATGCCCTCACCAGCAACACCCCGCGTCCCAACCCGGTGTCCTCACACCCTGACCCAGCCACCCAGCCACCCAGCCATCCAATCGGGGTGGGGTGGGATGGGCCGGGTCCAATGCAGCAATCCTTGGTGAAGCCACGTCATATATCTCCTCAGTTTCCTCTCTGAACCCCCCCTCCTCCCCCTCCTCCCCCTCCCTCCCTCCCCCCGCCAGGTGGTGTCCACTGACGCCATGGACGCCCTGGCCGAGTGGCCCACCATTGCGGAGGACTTCCGATTCGACCCGCCCTCGCCCTCGGATGTGACCTGGCACCGGTGAGGGGGGGAAGGGTTGCCGCGCGGGGAGGAAGGAGGGGAAAGGGAAACCAACCAACCATGGGGCGGGAAGGGGTGCCATTAGGGGTGTGTTTGCTGATGTGGCGAGCCGTTGAGCCCCTGTGTCGGGGAGACGTGGCGGCCATGTGGCCCCTGTCTTCCCCTGGCTTCTCCGTTCTTCTCTGTGTTACCGACGATGAATACAACGATGGACCCCTCTCCACCCCCCTTCACCCCTTTCCCCCCCAGCTACATGGCGGAGGTGCGGCGGGTGGTGGTGAGCTGCTGCGAGGACGTGGCGGCCATCCTGGCGGCGCACGAGGGGGCGCTGTGGGCGGGAATCAAGGTAGGACCCGGTGGGGGTGGGAGGCGGAGGTGTGCATAGGGACGCATACACACCGACACGAGGGAGGGCGAGGTGGCAAGCAGCACAGTGACGGCGTCAACACATGCTGGAGCGAGGCGCGCATCTTCTCAAGAGACCTCACCCGGCGTGTGTCGCATTCTTCGCCCCACTTCCTCCCCCCCTCAGGCCCTGTCCGAGCGCAAGGAGATGTTGGGTTCGGAGCTGCGCGACCTGTTCGACCAGCACCCACCCGCTGGGGGGGAGGGTGGTGCTGCGGCAGGCGGGCGGGCGCAGGAGCTCAGCCCCTACAGCGAGGAGCAGGCGGACATGAGCAGGTGAGGAGCAGGGGGGGACGGGAGGGGAGGGGAGGGGAGGGAGGAACATGGCTGCAGGGTCGGTAGTACGTCCTTATGCGTGGCGATGGGCTGGGGTTGGGAACAACCCCATTCCCTTCCGGACCCCCCTCTGCAACAACCCTGACCCCGCGCACTTCGCCCCCCACCCCACCCACCCACCACCACCCCACCTCTCTGGCGCAGGTGGCCGTACGGCATCGAGTGGCTGAATGACGCCTATCCGGTGCCGCACTGGGTACGACAGCAGCAGCAGCAGGAGCAGCAGGAGGAGCAGCAGAAGAAGGAGGAGGAGCAGGTGGCAGTTTGAGCGGAGGACGAGAGGGGTGGGAGGTGAAGGTAGTAATGTAGGCAGAGGCGAAGGCAGGGAAGGGCAGATGCAGCAGCGACAGCAGGTGGAGGTGGGTAGCAGAGGGGGCGGCACGGGGGCAGCAATGGAGGTGGCGAGGGGGAAGAGGCGAGAGGGAGGGGGCGGTGCAGGGCAGCTAGGGAGCGGGAGGTGCACAGCGAGGGTCCATGTGTGTTCAGGCAGCTGAAAAGAAAGGAAGAAGCAGCGGGGAAGAGGTGGACATGTCGGAGAGGAAGAGGGTTGTGCATGAGGCTGTCTGCGGTGGGCCTGTGTGTCTGAGAGGCGAGGGGCCGGGCTGGCAGCCGGGCCTCGGGTTGGGACATCCTGCTATCTTGCAGGCAGCTTGCTGCGGCAGGATTCCGATTAGGATCGATGCGGGGTGGGGGCCTGAAGTCGCAATCCGCCGTCCTGTTGCTCGTACCGCACCTCTTGTCGTACTCTTGCACCCTGCTGCGGTGACGTGCCGTGCCCCCCTGCAGCTCGTCCTCCCGGACAGCAGCCGCCTCGCACAGCCCGTCACATCTCCGCTGCCGTGCAGAGCTCCAACGCCATCACAGCCGCCTAGCAGCGCCCCAACATGGGCACACATCCCCACTGGGTACGCCCAAGATGATGTCAACACATCCCCAACTGCCGGTCCAAACCCACCTAGGCAATCCCTCCCGAAAACGTTGGGAGGCCACTGTGCTATCATGGGCGTTGCGGTGGGGTCCAGCGGAATGGAGCGGAGTGTAGCCAAGCCAAGCCGCCAGCCCAGCCCAGCCACACGCTTGCACTGGTACTCTCGCGTCGAGGACTGTGGCAAGTAGCTGAGAGCGGGACAGGATGAGGCATGACTGCGAGTATGCGCATGACGCGGACTGACCCACGGGTCTTAACCCAAATCGTTTCTCGTTTTTCCTCGTGTACGCGTCTGAACATGAATTGTCATAAGCCAGCAACATAGGCAGTTGGCGGTGACCCAGCATACGACCCAATGTATCTTTAAAAGTCACCTTGTTTTAACCAGTTAGCCCTCACTTCGGCAAGCCGGCAGCCTCCCTGGCATCCCCGCCACCACCGGTATCGATTAAACTGCCCTTGGACCTGGTCCCCCTCCCGCTGCGCATGGTGGCTTAGTCACAGGGGGGATCGGCGTATGCTGCTGTTACTGTCATTTGAATGCCCACACCACTGGACTGACTTGAGGGCCTGAGGGGGCCTGAGGGGACGTCTTCTTTCACGTTCACACGCCGGGACCGGTCTGCAAACCCGGTTCGGGCATTGCAGCCATCGCACAGCTGGCTCCTGACAGTTAGACCTCCGGTTGACGGAGGTTCTGAGCTGGGCAGCAGCGGGAAAGGACTGGTAAGAGTTCGGACCGAATTTTACAACTTTGTTCTATTTTTATCTTATATATCTTAATGTATATTTCATAGCAACCATTTGGCGGTAAGGCACACGGATACCAGTGGTGGTAAGCCACCCGGCAGGCGGTCAACCACTGCACATGCATCGCTGGCAGTCTGACATGCTTCACAGCTACAGACGTTGTCTTGTATGTCTTTTTGGTCTGCAAAGGAGCACAAACATCACCACGCGTGTTGAACAGGTGTAACTGAGCCTAGCCATCTAACCGCCACTGAACACCGTATCACCCACACCAAACGCCACCACTCTACATGCCCTTATATGCCTTACGTCGCTTCACGCCGCACTGCTCCCCCGCAGACACAGCGCCACCAGGCTGCCTAGCAGCGCCTCATCACCATCATCCTCGTCCTTCTGGCCCTTGCTGCTAGGGCCAGCAGCAGGCGGGATGGCAAGGGCTGCAGCGGTGGAGGTGGCGGCAGCAGCTGCGTTGTGCTGCGACGACGTTGCCGATGCTGCTGCTGCTGCTGCTGCTGATGGTGATGAGCGCCACACAGCGGACTGCCGTACAATCACACAGTACGCCACGCCTCCCGTCTCCTCGCCTTCGAAGCCGATGAGTTCAGGGTTTGGGCCGAACGCGTCTTCCAGCCGTACGAATGCCGTACCGTCATCAGCAACAAATGTGTCGTACATCATCACGTTGTCTGCCGCCTCGTTTCCTTGGAAGCCGTTCTTCTTCATCTCCGTCTGCTGTAGGTTGAGTGTGTCTTTCTGCCGTACGAATGTCTTACCGTCCGGGGCGACGTACACGGCTGGCCACATGACAACAGGGTCATCATCATTATCAGCTGCTGGGTGGTGCTGGCTGTTGTTGTTGTACGTGTTGTAGATGTTCTTGTTGTTGATATCACTGTTATTGCTGTTGTTGTTGTTGTTGTTGTTGTTGTTGTAATTGTTGTAGATGTTGTTGCTGTTAATGTCACTGTTGAGAATTAATGCCGCCGCGCTGCTCGGGTGGTCGGCCGCACAGGGGGCGTGCAGGCTGCCCCCGGTGCCGCTGCCCAGGAGGTCCGGAGCGCCGAAGATGTTGAGCGGGTGGAGGGGTTTACAAGGGATGGGGACTGGCATGACGCGAGCAGTTTTGGAGGTGGTGGTAGCAGTTGTAGGAGTGGCAGTGGGGAAGTACGTGTCGGGCGCGCCGCATCCACCACAGCTGCTGCTGCTGGGCCCACGTTGCTCCCACTTGCTGCGGGCGCTGTTGAAGACGGAGGGGCCCGGGGCGGTGTGGCTTTCCTTCACGAGGCCCACGTCGGGCTCCTCCTCCTCCTCATCATCATCCACATCCTTCGTATCAGCCCCAGCCAGAACCTCTTTGAAGTGCAGCCTGTGCTCGCCGCTGACATCCCCTTCCTCCTCCTCCTCAGACTCCTCTTCCTCCTCAGACTCCAGTCCGCCTCCTCTGCTGACGCTCCCGCAGCAGCAGCTGGTGACGCCAACGGACCTGCCGTCTCCCTCCTCCTCCTCCTCCTCCTCTGCGTCTCCAGCAGCGTTGCTGACACCGGCAGTGATGGCAGCAGCAACCGCAGCAGCAACCGCAGCAGCATCAGCGGGGCTCAGGCCTGCGACAGCACGTATCACACCAGGTAAGGTAATGAGGCGGCTCAGGAATGGCATGGTGCAGGGAAGACATGGTTCGATATCCGAGTGATGAGGCAGCGGAGAGGTGGCGGAGAGTATGACGACGAGGCAGGAAAGGAGGAGACCCACTCAACAAGGGGGCAAGCGGCAACCGTCACAGTATGTCGTGCAGCACGAGGCAGGCACTGAGTTCGCGCACGCTACATACTTTGCAGGGGGGGGGCTTTGCCCTTCTTTGAAGGGCAAAGCCTACCTACCCTCGCAGAGTTTTTATAAATAAACCCCCAAAGAGCCCAAACAGTAGCCCTCTCGCACCCCACTAACATGAGGTGCAACCTTGCCGCCCATGAGGGGCAAGGTTGCGGCCCCGCCCGCACCGCCGTTGGTCCTGCAGCATGCCCCCCTCACCTGGTCCGGAAGACGCCTCCAGCTCCATCTTCTCCTCCTCCTTCTCCTCTCCCCACCGCGGCTCCTCAGCCGAGCAGTCGGAGCCAGCATCGGCGCCCTCGAAGGCATCATCGTTGTCAACCTCGTTCTCGAGGGCAGCAAAAGCGTTGTGTATGGCAATGCCGTACGACCCATTTTTAGAGGTGCTCTTGGGCTGTACGACTGTTGCTTTCTTGGAGCTGATGATGTTGGGGGCGGCGGTGCGCGCGATGTCAGACTGGCGGAAGAAGACCGCGGTCGGGGCGCGGCGGTGCAGACCCATGGGGCGGCTGCCGCCGATGCCGACCCATTGGGCGGCGGAGAAGTGGGAGGGTGGCGGCGAGGATCCTAGGGGTATCCTGGCGGAGTAGTCCGGCTTGATGGCGGGAGAGGTGGACGGTGCAACCGTAGCTGCGGCGGGGTGAGGAGTGCCTGCAGCGGGTGGCAGGGACAGGCGGGATGAGATGCGGGCCAATAAGGTCAGAGCATTCGTCGTGTGACAAATGCAGCAACGAAGGGACCTTAATGACCATAGCACATAGGCCAGCCGGTAACCTGTACGTCAGTTACACATGCCTAGTTACCGGTACACAACTAGGTTTTTTCTATCACGTCGGAATCCTACTCGTACAGCTTATCATGGTTTTTCCCCTCGAGGTTCACGCAGCTGTGGAAACGAGGAGGCAAGATCAGCCCAAGCCAAGGCGCCAACGCTCCCTTTGACTTCGTCTTAGCTCACCTACAAGCACCATACTTGGCTGCAGCGGTGAACCGGCGGCACGCTTGTGAGGCGGAATGTAGGCCTTGATGCTGTTGTCGCTGCCAGTGCTGCTACCAAGAGTGGACTTGCCTGCTATGATCCCAATACAGCAAAGGTAGGAAGCGGAAAGTCGTCAACATGTGAGCGTCTAGTCGCGTTTCTGATATTGGTCTAAAGCAAAGAACTGCAATGCCTCGCTCAACCGCTATGACAGGGACGCCGATGACTTTCCCAGAAGCCCAATCTGCTTACCTTTGCCATCAGATAAAGTTACAATTTCTTGTTCCTCTTTTTGGGCCGATTGTGGCTTCCTGAGCAGCAACTCCGACGGGTTAATTGACAGTGGTAAGTTTCTGGGAGATGAGGTCGTTCGCAGCGCAAGCAGGCACAACGACTCGCATTCTCTTAGCTTTGCACATTGAGCTCCTATAGACTGCAGCAACCGACAGACCCAAATCGAGCACGGATCTACCTTCGGTTCTCGCCCTCACTGCCCGGCGAGCCGCGTGCCAAGCCTATTGACTCCATCGAACAAATTGGCCTTCCAAAATGGGGCCAAACGGCAGAGCCCTAACAAAATGCGCAAGTCTGGATTGAAAGGGTTTGCAACACTCGGTTTGAGCGTTTAAGGTTCTAAGGTTACTTGAGCTGTAATACCTCCTGCTGTGTTGGCTCGATCCTGATAAGCATAAACGCGGCACGTCAGCCCTAGAGAGTATCCCATGTAATCCTGCCGTACCAGACTCCGAAGCTCACACGCAGCTTTATAGAAGCTTCGGTTAAACGCTTTAGTCATGCGATGTTGTTAATGCGACAAGCTGGTAAAGGATATTTGTTCGCGAGCAGGAAGAGCATAGTGTGCTTAGCGTGCAAGCGTTTTGGAGGGAAACCTATTGTCAGCGTTTCACGCATCCAATGGCGCCCAAGGACGTTGCTAAAAATTGACAGTTAGATGGCTTGGCATGCCCCGGGTCGCCAGTTTCCGCGAGTTGCCGATCGGGTCCACGATGGATTGTGGTTGCTTGGTCCTTGTTGGTGCCTTTGCTAATAATGTGCGTCATTGTTGTCTGTAAATATGTTCCACCTTACCGTTCGATGTAGTCTGGCTTAGGCGCTGCCCATCGCTAAGCTGAGCTGCAGAGCACACCTGGTTAGTGGTTAAGGTAGTGCGGCGTTAGGTATGATAGGTATGGAAGAGTGCCCCCGAGGCGAGCGAATGTATACCCCATTATGCCAAGAGTAAGGGTAGTGCGAGATCCCAACGGGTAGTCTGCACAGGAATGAGTATGATGCTACATTCAGCCGGGTTACATGGCCACTGTAATCTAGCCACATCGCCCTACATTGCACTGCATCCTTCTGCATCTGCAACAGTTCCCCTCTGCCAGATCCAACGAGTCCGCTGGCATCATCACCTGACCACAACGGGCGCTAAAAGCGTGGTGAATCCTCGACCCATGCACACTATACTAGCTAGGTGCTAGCGGCATAACCCTAACGTCGCAACCTGCGTTTCAAGCTTGTGGAGCTGCTAAGAGCTGAAAATCCCTTAACCACCTCCCTCCTGCTCATGGGACCACCTAAAGCCCTGGGTGCGCCAAGACGTCAACACATTCCCAACTGCCGGTCCAAACCTACCAAGGCAACCCTGCCGAAATATTTAGGAGGCCACTGTGCTATCATGGGCGTTGCGGTAGGGTCCAGCGGAGTGGAGCGGAGTCTAACCAAGCCAACACGCCAGCCAGCCCAGCCACACGCTTGCACTGGTACTCTCGTGTAGAGGACTGTGGCAAGTAGCTGAGAGCAGGACAGGATGAGGCATGACTGCGAGTATGCGCATGACGCGGACTGACCCACGGGTCTTAACCCAAGTCGTTTCTCGTTTTTCCTCGTGTACGCGTCTGAACATGATATGTCATAAGCAAGCAACGTAGGCAGTTGGCGGTGACCCAGCATATGACCCAATACCTTTAGAAGTCACCATGTTTTAACGGGCCAGTTACCCCTTACTTCGGCAAGCTGGCAGCCTCCTTGACATCCCCGCCACCACCGGTATCGACTGGACCGCCTTTGGACCATGAGATGGTTACACTATGGCGGGAGGGGATATAGATACGGATGCCTCACAGACAAGGAGAACGATCAGTTCAACTTCAGCTCCGGTGCCTGTGCGGACGACATGGCAACAGCCACCAACACAGTGTCAAACATGAGGATACAATGTCGGAAGATAGAACAATACGCCCAGTGGGGCGGACTCAAAGTCAACGTAGACAAATGCCACCTGACAGGCATCCTACATGGACAACCAGACAGCGAACTTAGAGGGGGTCCCGACAGCAAGCCCTACCGGGTCACCCTTGAAAGGATGCTTAAAGACCAATTCCAGATAGGGGGTGAAAGCATCCCATACCACCCACCGGCCACGGCATACAAGTACCTAGGCGTCTACATCACCCTGACGCTGAACTGGGCAACGCAAATGAAACATGTCAGAGCCATGGTCAAAGAAAAGGGGGCATGCATAGAATCCTCGCTTGCAACCCCCGACCAGAAGCTACGG